TTCTATCAGCTTTATAGAAATGAAGACCTTGCTCATGTGTGTAGATTGGGGCTCTTTTGAAAAGCTGAGTTCAGAGTCAAGGAATGTCTTTCACACACACACACACACACACACACACACAACACTCGCTCGTCTTCACCCAGGATCGTGTTCGTTGTTGTATTCAGGGGAAGGAAAATTCAATTTATTGCAATACATATGCATGACATTTTAATGATGCACAAAAATGCAATCCATTTAGTGAGCAGCACACATGTGTAAATACATCAATTCTGTCGAGTCAAATAATCAAAGTTCATTAAGCAAAATAGCTCTCAGTGCGGCAGAAGCAGAGATGCAGTGAGTTATATGGCGCTTTTCCACTGCATAGTACGGTACGGTTTGGCTCAGTACGGTTCGACTCTGCGCGGAACAGTTCGGCTCGCTTCGTGTTTCCACTGCGTGGTACGTTTTGAGTCGGTACGGATCGGTTCGGTTCGCTTAGCTCTGTTGCGTTTCCACTGCAGTAGTACCCCTTCAAAGTGTGTGGGACTGATCGTTATTTGCGCGCGCCTCTACTGCCATGACATCATCTTAAAAGCGCCACATTTTCAAACCCACAACGCAGGAACAATGGAGACTATCGAGGGGATGGTGTTCCTGATTCTCGGTATGTGGTTGTTTTTAACTGCTAGACGGAAAAATGTGTTTAAAATGAGGCTGATGGCAGCAAAACAAAAATACTGCTAAAAAAGTGTCTCGTGTCGCAAATCCAATGACGCTAGTAGTGACGATTCTGTCTGACCAATCAGTGATCTGCAGTGTTTCACGTCACATTTTAGTACCGGTGTTCTGTCGATCTGTCCTACCTTGTCAGATTTTCCTACCGTAGCGCAAAATTATAGCCATATCTATCGGTTCATCCTACCTCGTCGTAAAATCCTACTGAGCGTTTCTGCTTCGCGTCTGTGACTAAGTTACATAAAATATTTCTGTGTAACTTTGCCGAATTTTCTTATTAGGCCATGTTACGGTGATTTTACAGTGCAAAGTAACGTTACCTCTTCAGATTGTCCTATGAAATAAACGATAGGATGATTTTACATTGCAAAATACCTCATCAGATTGTGCTACCAGTATGAAATAAACGAGTAGAATGATTTTACGTTAATGTTTTCATGAAAAAAATGCTAATATGAATTTGCTTTGTAGCTATGAATGTGAGAGTAAACAGTTCTCATTACTGCTATATATCTTTGTATAGTAATAATTGACAAAAATAGTGAAAAACTTACCTCAGATGAAGAAGATCTCGCGCAAGTAGTAAAATATAATGGGCGTGTTGTTCAGCGTGACAAAAATGACGTATTATTGATGTGCGCATGCGCAGTAAGCCTTGGTAGGACAATCTGACGGGTAGGATGGAATGTCAGAACACCGGTACGGTACGCTTGGAACCTCAACAGACCGGGTACCATTTAAAGCGACCCGAAGCGCAACGTACCATGCAGTGGAAAAGCACCACAAGTGAGCCGAACCGAACCGTATCGTACTATGCAGTGGAAAAGCACCAATAGTTTCAACTCTGCAAACACACTCCTCAGACGTTTGTTCTTTAACTGCAATGTAAAATCCACACTAGAGGCTTAGTAACTACTAGCTAGCTACTAACTTATATAACAGTTACACTCTCCATAAAGTAATGCGCACTCTCATAATATAACGGTTACACTCGATGATCCAATAGCAGCCTTCAAATACAAGAGCAGGAGTGCTGTCAACTTTTGCCTCACATAACTAACGGTAAAAATATTTTAGTTTCCAATAAAATACAATACCGCTTAATCATAAATAATATAATAGGTGGTTTATATGTAAATAACATTCAGAAACAGTATTTAAAACGTATAGAGGCGTACTCATTAATAAACACTGTTACAGACAAACACAAGGAATGACATATATTAAATATTTTGTGTAATTTCTCTTGAATGGGCCTCAGATCCTGGTGTATTCCTGACAGGAGTATCCTCATCCCCCATCCTCCACTCATCATAAAGTGCACAAACCCACTCCCTCGCGTGTGTAATGAGAGATTCAGCAGGCGTTACTGACTGACAAACACTGGGTCTGTGATCCCTTCAATAACTCGACCCACAACCAGAAGTGTCCAGTGCGAGCTGGTCAACACCGGGAGAAAGCGAGTGTAGTCATGTGATCTGAATGTGGGCGTCTCAGACCACAGTGTTTGTTTCACCAAACAACGTGTATTTAACGTCTGAACACGTTTCGCAAATCATCATTTTTAGTGTGTGTGAGAGATGATTGTGTATTTTAACATCCTGTTCAAATGAATGAATATGTGCATATATTGAAGCTCGACACACAGGTGATCTATAAACATATAAATGGCTCTTGATCAATGTTTTCCGCTCAAACTGAAGATACTGCATCTTTAAAACGGGGGTCATTGATGACATATTGCTTATTTTGCAGGAAGTCAGCTTTGATTTGCTGCTTCTTTTTATTTGTGGCATTTGCTTGTGCGCTGCATATGTGATTTCCCCCCTTATGGCTTTTTAAAAACATCTTCAAGTTTTATTGCAGTGAAGTCAGAGCGCCTGAAATGCACGATGAGTATTTGCATGCTCTGACTGGATCTCTTTTTGAAGTCAATTGTCAAATGGATAGGGTATCAGGTTGCACGCAAATGTACAAAGCAAGACATGCATGTTTGAATGAATGCCGGAGAGATCAGGCTGAAGTGTTTGCTTATGGTTGATTCCCACATTGCACTCACCAATATCTCTTCATCTGTTTGTGCTGTTTCTCATTCGCTCGCCAGGAGGAGCTACTATTCGTACTCATATTACCTGTAAGTAACAGAGACGCAGACAAAAGCAAAAGGTTGACACACATGCAGGGCTCTCTGCTCTCTGTCTATGGTTAGTCCTGTTAGTCTTTTAAAGATGCAGTATCCTTTTTTCAAGCGAAAACACGAATCGCTTCGACCAATCACGTTCCTTTTGCATCGTAGTAGTTCTTGGACGAGCTCGGCGACGGTGTTATTTGAAAAAAGAATGCTGCACTTGTGTCTGTCCGGTGTCTTTTCGGTTGGTTCTTTTGTTGTTTTTTGGTGTGTGCATGTGTGTGTGTGTGTGTGTGGGATAGTTACTCACCCTGTCTCCATCCACCTCACATTCTCATCCGCTCGCTCATTGGTGAAGAGGGTGTTTCTTCATGTGGCTGTCCCGGGTGGCCTTTAGTCGAAACCTACACCTCTACAAATGTCAATCCAAAAATAAAATCAAGATATCCCTGCTTGTGTGTATTCCTGTCGAAAAAATCTTATAAGAGATTGAAAATACACTAATAATCATTTGCCTTACAAATCATCTTTCTTTCACAGCTCCACATTGCATTTCATGACATGACAAAGTAAAACCATGACGAGAGAATCTTTTTTCTTCAGATACAGTAAATCTATATTTTTATGATCTGTTCTGTATTTGCTTTCTCGGATACAACCTAAAAAAAAGTTATCAGTATTTTGTCTTGTTTTACACTGAGAAAAATAAACAGTCTAATTATCCTTAAAACGAGAAAAGAGAAGCAAACCGGCGCACTGTTTTCAGAGCTCACGATTTGTTCATCCTGATGAATATCGTTCATTCGGCCCTTGAACATTTTCTTTAGATTTGCATTCATTTTAGAGTATATGTCAAACATTTTTCTGATATTTTCTTGAGAAGATATGTTAATAGAAGTTAAAGATCCTGTTTCCCCAGATAGCAAACTGACATTGAATCAACGTGGAAATATGACATCGAAACAACGTTGATCCGACATTGTTTTGCTCATCGAATTAACGTTGAACCAACGTCAGACGCGTCATTCTTTCAAAACTAACGGAAAATCAACTTGAAATCAACGCGTTGTTTCAACGTTATGAAAGCAAACCAATTTTCGATTTCATTTAGCTTTGAAGAATGCCGCGTCTGACGTTGGTTCAACGTTAATTCGATGAGCAAAATCAACGTTGTTTCAATGTCATGAGTAGGGTTGGGTATCGAGAATCGAGTATCGATTGGAACCGAGACTAACTTTTCGTTTTTCCCGGAATCGTTCAAAAGTTAAAGTTTCGATTCCTAGTTTCGATATTCACAGTCCGCCGAGCGGAAGAAGAAACCGCTGAACAACACCAACGAAGAAGCGTCTACCGGAAGTGTTGGCATAACCACGCGAGTCGAACATGAGTAGCTTACGTCGGCGATCCAAAGTGTGGCTTCACTTTTCTAAAAATAACGAAATCTCGGCAAAATGCAAAATTTGTGTATTTTTACAGGAGTATTTCCTTCAGAAAGGATTATTTTCTTCAGAAAGGCCGTTGGTTAGCTTAACTTTTTTGACCCTGCCTCTTAAAAGAATCGTAATCGAGAATCGTTAGGAACCGGAATCGAAACAAGGAATCGGAATCGGAATCAGAATCGTTCAAATTCAAACGATACCCAACCCTAGTCATGAGAGACGTCGTTTCCACGTTGATTCAATGTCAGTTTGCTGTCTGGGTCTGCGTGTCATGTGACCCTCAACTGGAAAACAAGACAAAAGTGCTGATTAAGAAAATCATTGTTATTTTTATGTTAGTCATAGGGCTGGGTAATAAATATCGATTTCTCGATATTAATCGATTCTCATTTTTGCGAACCGATATCGATTCTTAAATCTCAAGAATCGATTATTCATCCTGTTTCATTTGAATGAATGGATCATTGTATCGCGGCTGCGCGCATCCAAAAAAACGCAATAATCTTTGTTTTTTGTTACTATTGATATGAACAAAGTCTCAAGTTTCAAATTCTGTCCATTTTCTTTAGAAAGTCAGAAACATAAATAGCGTTTTGTCGCTGTGGCGTGAGATCGCTCTGGAGAAGCAGCAGCGCTGATCTCTCTTCCGGCTTAATAATACCAGTCACAGCGCCAAATAAACATGAATGAGCATCTGAAAGTGTGTTAAAGATAGAGTACAACTTATCCAAATCCGTATCATGTCACATTGATTCACTTAATCAGCGTTTCAACCGTGGAAAGACGTCAGTTAAACAGCTTGTAATCAATGTATCGTCATATTTACCTCAGAAAACCCACATAAACTCGTTAGTCAGCTAGAAAAATAACTCTAGAGAGGAGCATTTTGCTAAATATATACACCATATTACATATGCATTATAATCTTAATGTTCTTCAATATTTAATGCATATTTGAATAAATCTAGCAAGTTTTAATGACAAAAAGTGTAATTTAAGTGTTTGTATAGCTACAAAACAGTTCATTATTACCTTCATATTAGGCTAATGAAGCCTATAGGCTACAACCAGACTCCCATAGTTTACAGCATTAGTTAAGAGATTTAATTCCCTTGAGAAAAATTGCCATTTATTGTTACTGATATCCAAAATAATCGATATTGAATCAAATCGAAACGTAATCGAATCGAATTGCAAGCTTGTGAATCGAAATCGAATCGAATTGTGAAATTTGTCTCAATACCCAGCCCTAGTTAGTCAAATGCTCTTTTTTTACTTATAATCATAGAATTAAGATAATACATTTAGACATAAAATGCCTAATAAATTCTGTGACAGTAAAACTGTCAGGAAGTTTCAACAATCCGAGCAGACATGGTTTTATTTCTCTGAATCACGTCCACTAATCTGAAAGTTTTCCTCAAAGTTGTCCTTTACCACGGAACTAAAGCTTTCCCATTGGATCATCCCCGTTTCCTCTCTCCTGTGTTCTGTTTATTCCTACATGTGACTGCTCTGTCTGGGTGAAGGGTTTCCGAGAGCAATAGATCTTCACTGATTCTCTCTTTCGTTGGGTTATCAGGAAGCTGGCCAAGAAGCGCAAGGATGCCATCGGGAATACGCGTCAGGAGATGACACACATGGTGAACTCCATGGACCGCAGTTATGCTGACCAGAGCACTCTGCACGCGGAGGAGCCCGTGTCCGTCACCTTCATGGACTCGCACAACTTCAGCAACCGCTGTGAGTACGCCAGCCCTACACAACAGCACAACGACAGTCAGCTCACAACTTAAAAAAATACATCAGAACGATGGACACCTACATGAAGAGAGTTGATGTGTGTTTATTGGGCGCTAGTGTGTGTGATGAGAACATTTTAGTAGTCTAGATTGTGTACCTCTCTTTATGGAAGCTTGTTTCCATCACAGAATCGAAAATAAAAAAGGTAATTGTGACTAAATATCTTACAATTCTGACTTTTTTTCCCTCACAATTGCGTTTACATCATCTGCGTTTACATATGTCTTATAAAGTCAGAATTGTGTGATATGAAGCCAGAATTGCGTAATATAAAATCAGAATTGCGTGTTATAAAATCAGAATTGCGAGATATAAAGTCAGAATTGCGAGATATAAAGTCAGAATTGCGAGATATAAAGTCAGAATTGTAAGATATAAAGTCAGAATTGTGAGATATAAAGTCAGAATTGTGAGATATAAAGTCAGAATTGTGAGATATAAAGTCAGAATTGCGAGATATAAAGTCAGAATTGTGAGATATAAAGTCAGATTTGTGAGATATAAAGTCAGAATTGTGAGATATAAAGTCAGAATTGTAAGATATAAAGTCAGAATTGCGAGATATAAAGTCAGAATTGTCAGATATAAAGTCAGAATTGCGAGATATAAAGTCAGAATTGTGAGATATAAAGTCAGAATTGTGAGATATAAAGTCAGAATTGTGAGATATAAAGTCAGAATTGTGAGATATAAAGTCAGAATTGCGAGATATAAAGTCAGAACTGCGAGATATAAAGTCAGAATTGTGAGATATAAAGTCAGATTTGTGAGATATAAAGTCAGAATTGTGAGATATAAAGTCAGAATTGTAAGATATAAAGTCAGAATTGCGAGATATAAAGTCAGAATTGTGAGATATAAAGTCAGAATTGTGAGATATAAAGTCAGAATTGCGAGATATAAAGTCAGAATTGTTAGATATAAAGTCAGAATTGCGAGATATAAAGTCAGAATTGCGAGATATAAAGTCAGAATTGTGAGATATAAAGTCAGAATTGCGAGATATAAAGTCAGAATTGTTAGATATAAAGTCAGAATTGTGAGATATAAAGTCAGAACTGCGAGATATAAAGTCAGAATTGTGAGATATAAAGTCAGAATTGCGAGATATAAAGTCAGAATTGCGAGATATAAAGTCAGAATTGTGAGATATAAAGTCAGAATTGTGAGATATAAAGTCAGAATTGTAAGATATAAAGTCAGAATTGCGAGATATAAAGTCAGAATTGTGAGATATAAAGTCAGAATTGCGAGATATAAAGTCAGAATTGTTAGATATAAAGTCAGAATTGCGAGATATAAAGTCAGAATTGCGAGATATAAAGTCAGAATTGTGAGATATAAAGTCAGAATTGCGAGATATAAAGTCAGAATTGTTAGATATAAAGTCAGAATTGTGAGATATAAAGTCAGAATTGCGAGATATAAAGTCAGAATTGTGAGATATAAAGTCAGAATTGTGAGATATAAAGTCAGAATTGCGAGATATAAAGTCAGAATTGTGAGATATAAAGTCAGAACTGCGAGATATAAAGTCAGAATTGTGAGATATAAAGTCAGAATTGTGAGATATAAAGTCAGAATTGCGAGATATAAAGTCAGAATTGCGAGATATAAAGTCAGAATTGTGAGATATAAAGTCAGAATTGTAAGATATAAAGTCAGAATTGTGAGATATAAAGTCAGAATTGCGAGATATAAAGTCAGAATTGTGAGATATAAAGTCAGAATTGTGAGATATAAAGTCAGAATTGTGAGATATAAAGTCAGAATTGCGAGATATAAAGTCAGAATTGCGAGATATAAAGTCAGAATTGTGAGATATAAAGTCAGAATTGTGAGATATAAAGTCAGAATTGTGAGATATAAAGTCAGAATTGCGAGATATAAAGTCAGAATTGTGAGATATAAAGTCAGAATTGTGAGATATAAAGTCAGAATTGCGAGATATAAAGTCAGAATTGCGAGATATAAAGTCAGAATTGTGAGATATAAAGTCAGAATTGTAAGATATAAAGTCAGAATTGTGAGATATAAAGTCAGAATTGCGAGATATAAAGTCAGAATTGTGAGATATAAAGTCAGAATTGTGAGATATAAAGTCAGAATTGTGAGATATAAAGTCAGAATTGTGAGATATAAAGTCAGAATTGCGTGATATAAAGTCAGAATTGTGAGATATAAAGTCAGAATTGTGAGATATAAAGTCAGAATTGCGAGATATAAAGTCAGAATTATAAGATATAAAGTCAGAATTGCGAGATATAAAGTCAGAATTATAAGATATAAAGTCAGAATTGTGAGATATAAAGTCAGAATTGCGAGATATAAAGTCAGAATTGCGAGATATAAAGTCAGAATTGCGAGATATAAAGTCAGAATTGTGAGATATAAAGTCAGAATTGTGAGATATAAAGTCAGAATTGTGAGATATAAAGTCAGAATTGTGAGATATAAAGTCAGAATTGCGAGATATAAAGTCAGAATTATAAGATATAAAGTCAGAATTGCGAGATATAAAGTCAGAATTATAAGATATAAAGTCAGAATTGTGAGATATAAAGTCAGAATTGCGAGATATAAAGTCAGAATTGCGAGATATAAAGTCAGAATTGCGAGATATAAAGTCAGAATTATAAGATATAAAGTCAGAATTGTGAGATATAAAGTCAGAATTGTGAGATATAAAGTCAGAATTGCGAGATATAAAGTCAGAATTGCGAGATATAAAGTCAGAATTGCGAGATATAAAGTCAGAATTGCGAGATATAAAGTCAGAATTATAAGATATAAAGTCAGAATTGCGAGATATAAAGTCAGAATTGCGAGATATAAAGTCAGAATTGTGAGATATAAAGTCAGAATTGTGAGATATAAAGTCAGAATTGCGAGATATAAAGTCAGAATTGTGAGATATAAAGTCAGAATTGTGAGATATAAAGTCAGAATTATAAGATATAAAGTCAGAATTGCGAGATATAAAGTCAGAATTGTGAGATATAAAGTCAGAATTGTGAGATATAAAGTCAGAATTGTGAGATATAAAGTCAGAATTGCGAGATATAAAGTCAGAATTGCGAGATATAAAGTCAGAATTTTGTAATATAAAGTCAGAATTGCGAGATATAAAGTCAGAATTGTGAGATATAAAGTCAGAATTGCGAGATATAAAGTCAGAATTGCGAGATATAAAGTCAGAATTGCGAGATACAAAGTCAGAATTGTGAGATATAAAGTCAGAATTGCGAGATATAAAGTCAGAATTGCGAGATATAAAGTCAGAATTGTGAGATATAAAGTCAGAATTGCGAGATATAAAGTCAGAATTGCGAGATATAAAGTCAGAATTGCGAGATATAAAGTCAGAATTGTGAGATATAAAGTCAGAATTGCGAGATATAAAGTCAGAATTGCGAGATATAAAGTCAGAATTGCGAGATATAAAGTCAGAATTGCGAGATATAAAGTCAGAATTGTGAGATATAAAGTCAGAGTTGTGAGATATAAAGTCAGAATTGCGAGATATTAAGTCAGAATTGCGAGTTATAAAGTCAGAATTGCGAGATATAAAGTCAGAATTGTGAGATATAAAGTCAGAATTGCATAAAATTCATGAGATTTTATTGTGTGCAGAAACTAGCTGGTATCTCTCAGGTCCAGCGCTAGATCTTGTAATGCCAGTACTGCACCACTGCTGCGTTTCACACCGGTTTTGAAAGCGTCCTGGGTTCAGTTATTAGTAAAGTCTGGGTAGTGTGTGACTCTGCACAATGCACCCACGTTTAACTTCTGTTGAATCGTGAGTAAAAGCTCAAGCAGTGAGGTGTGTGACATCAGTTCCTGAACGTCCTCCGCCTCTGAGTTTTGATTGTGTGTGATTTACGATTCCTCTGCATGTTTCTCTGCAGTGCCTAATGATCCTCTCGTGCCGACTGCTGTATTAGGTGAGGACTGATTGTATCGTGTGCACATGTCTGTGACCGGATCACTGGAGTATTCAGTTCAACCGGTCTTACGGCCACCAAGACAACATGAAATCAAATCCACCCGTTTGCTTGCCTTGAACATGGCGCTTATGGGTCCTATTGTGCACAATTAACTTCTGAATTGACCGTTCTGCCAGCATAACTAAAGAGGTTTGGGTGGGGACATTAATATTAACCGACAATATGATTGGCCAATCAAATCACAGTGAGTAATGTCAAACCCTGTGCTACGTTTATTTGCTATTGAAGTGAAAGGTAATTTCATGTTGTCTTTAATTTGCCCATATTTCCAACTAGAAATAAAGCTTGATTCAGGTTGTGTTTGCCTTGAATTGAGCTGAGTACTCCTGCTGCACATAAAGACCTTCATTACCCAGCATGCATCACTCATGTACTGTAGCCCCTCACCATGATCCTGTTGTGTTACGTAGAACGGGGTTTCTCAATCATTTCCACGGGCAGCGCTGTGTCACACACTAAACCCATGTGCCCAGTTGAGTCAATGGCCTCTACTACTAACCAGTCACATCACACGTGTTACCCAGTGTTAACCAGCGTCGCAGCGCATGGAGCCTGTGGGAACGGCTTGAGGACCGTCCCAGAATCTCACAAATGTCTCTTGAGACGACTGTTGCAGTCACCTAAAGGATGGCAATGTGCACACACACACACACACACGTTTGCTACCGATGAACCCAAATGCTACCCCTAAAATAAGTGTTTGAACGTATGTGATGAAAGCCAATGCCAGATGATTCTTAACTCCAATTCCAATTGAGGCAGACGTTTGTTTTGTCAGATTTAGTTTAGTTTCAAAGTTAGTCACTAAACTAAAGTAAACGTGTAATCTGGTCACAGACAGCAGGGAAAAACAACATTAAATGCAAGAAAAATGTGATGTGATCATGCATAGCTATGATGACAGAATAAATAAAGCAGATACTTGGAAATCAAACACTCAAGTCAAATACCTTTGGACTTTTCCATGGGAATCGCTTGTGAAAAAGAAGAGCACTCAACTATATTGAATTAAAAAATAAAGAAACTGTAGTTGTGGATAATATAGTGAAATGTCAAATAATAGTTTTTTTAAATAATATTGTGTCGTGTTTTATAGAAGTTCACTTATGATTATGTGTAAAAATAAAAATAAAAATAGGGCTGTGCAAAAATTAATTGTTTACATAATATATTTGTGTGTGCTGTATATAATTATTTTGTATATATAAATACCTATGCATGCATGAATACAGTATATTTAAGAATTATTTGCACTTAAATTCTGTATATATACAGTATATAAATACATATTATATAAATATTTTATAAATGAATAACACATTTTCTTAAATATATACATGCATGTGTGTGTATTTATATATACAAAATAATTATACACAGCACACACAAATATATTATGTAAACACAGACTTTTATTTTGGATGCAGTTAATTTTTGCACAGCCCTAAAAAAAATTATTATGTTTAATAAAGTAAAAATAAATGTCTTTTTTTTAATTTAACGTAAGCTATAAATGCTTCTCAGTATTCAGTTTACACATATTTCAAATTTACATACTAAGAAGTATTGAAGTTGTACTTCAAAAAAGCACTCCTATTCTCAGCTAAATGCATTTAACCCTTATGCTGCATTAGGGACATTTTTGGTCTTTTGCGGTTTAATTTCTTTGACCATTTTGGCTGTTTTAATGCAAATGGTATGAAATTTGGCAAAATTGTGACTTTTTGGATACATGTAAAAAATGTGATCCCATTTTGCAAAATATGTATAACACACACTGTGTAGATCAAATAGTAACACTCAGCACCATAAAGACCAAAAATGGCCCATTGAAACCCATTAAAACGTTGTTTAAATCTGAGGCTGTCAGTAATACATGAAACATGATTTTTGCACAAACATCCTTTCATTTTGAAGCAAAAGCATTATATTTGCATTATATAGTGTATTCCACCAGATGACGTCACTACATATTTATTCCCTATGGGTGGAAATGCACCTTATTTTAGGCAATAGGCAATGTTTAATAGGTGGCCATTTTTGGTCTCTAACGCGCTAAGTGGGATTTTTTGCAAAGTGGGACTGTGATCATCCAAATCTAAAGTTTTCTCTTTGCATTTAGTTTATTGAAAATAATTGAATTTTTGTGTTTTTTCCTCTTATACAAATCGATGCTTTCGCAAACAAAACTGGTAATTAAAGGGTTAAAATCCTGAAATTGAATACATTTTTGGTAGTTATGATGAGGACTGATGCTGGTTAAAAGATTTAACTTGGTAAAAGTGGAAAATAATAATAATATATCATATTTTAGGCAATGTTTAATATGTGGCCATTTTTGGTCCTTAATGCACTCAACGGTGTTAAAAATCTAATGCAGCACAAGGGTTAATATGAATTTAAACTACACTGTGGTTTCATTAAATTATAAATACCATGCGATTAAGTGTCCGAAAACAATTTGCACTCGCAATGCTGTAAATGTTTGCAGACACTAAATAAAAATATGTTTTTCACAGTGAAAATGTGTAGTAGTGTTTCCGTAAGAAGCACGCTGAAGGGAATTTCTTTTTCACAAGGGATATTAATACATTCCCATTAATAGATGTACATAAATTAGACAGTGGAAAGACTAAATTCTGGAAGCAGAATCAGCCGGGAAACACTCTTCTGTATGTTTTACCTAAGCGTCATTATTCATACATACACACACTCTCTCTCTCACACACACAGTCAGACCACACGAAACTATGAGTGTTCCCGGAGCTCGTAGGATGATGCGGAAACTAAACTGACAGCTTACAAGTAAAGCTATCATGAATCCAGTCATCTGGGTTAACAGTGTCAGATGCAAACACAGAGCTAACAGGACAGAACAGGCTAGAAGATGATGATGATGAAGATGAAGAGTAAATGGTCCCCTAAGGCCACGGCTCTGCTGAAGTGTGAACCAGTCTCTCTGACGTGTGTTCAAAGCTCCGCTCTAAAGTCTGTTACTTACAACTCATGTCCTGTGGTTTGATTCCTGTCACCAAACTCAGTTCTATTCAGTTTGTGGTGCGGCTTCTGCATCTCCTCAAGTGAAATCTAGAAAACTATCCTCAGTGTGATGTGCCCCCTTCCCCCCCGTCTGTGTACATGTTAGTGTACATGTTCAGTCCATATCACCCCATCAGCTGTACTACAGAGCCGTGTGTTTGAGCTGACGCTGAACTAAACAACTCTTTTCTCTCCCGCTGCCCCATAAGTGCCTATCACTGGTAAGTGTGTGTGAAGGAACGCCTCTGTCCTGTGCAGAGTGCTCCCCTCTGGGATTATGAATGCATTCGTGAGGTTCTGCGTGTGTGTTTGTCGAGTCGTTTGAGCTCAGCGTGTGTAAAGGTGAGTGTTGACCTGAAGCTTTCCCCATGCCTCCTCAGACGAGAACCACACGGCGGCGGCGGCGGCGGCGGAGAACAGCAGACTGCTGGATATCCCACGCTACCACTGCGAGGGCACGGAGTCGCCCTATCAGACCGGACAGCTGCACCCCGCCATCCGGGTGGCAGACCTGCTGCAGCACATCAACCTGATGAAGACCTCCGACAGCTACGGCTTCAAGGAGGAGTACGAGGTTAGACTGGGGAGCGCAGGGACGCGGCGGCGCAGAGCTCCACGAGTGTGTCCTGTGTGTCCGATCTGCTTTGCTAGGGTTCATTGTGTAGACCCCTTTTCAGTTGGTAAACACTGTGGCGTTTTTATGTGGGTGGAGGCAGTACGATCCCTCTGGCCGCCTTACTAACGCTAGTTAGCAAGTTAGCTTGTTTCTGTGACAATGACTAGAGAAAATCAGATTTTATCTTAAAGGAGAACTCCGGCGAACAATGAACCTTTGGTCTAATAAAACATCGGTACCTAGTCAATCGTTCTCTGAGATTTGTTTTCATGATAATCGAATGTAAAGAGTTTTATCTCTAAAAACTGTTTAGCGTATAATGCTAGTAATGGGGGCATTGACTAAGTAAAAAGAAATCGCTAGTTTATACCACTAATAAGGCTCAAAATAGCCCCACACTAACGCAGTAACATAATGAGGCTCCATACATGCAAAACGAAGCATTGAGAACTTTGTAAGTGTACAGACCGTTTAATAAGAAGATACTTTATGAAGACGGTTCACTTCGTGTGTACAGGCAGGAGCCATCTCAAAAAATAGTCTCGATAAGTCGATCCCCGAACGCCGCTCATACAGTTCAGAAGTTCGTTGAACTTCATAGAGTTCAGATCACTCAGCACGACGTTCGTGGTTTGACTTATCGAGACTATTTTTTAAGATGGCTCCTGTCTGTATACGCGAAGTGAACTGTCTTCATAAAGTATCTTCTTATTAAACGGTCTGTACACTTACAAAGTTCTCAATGCTTCGTTTTGCATGTACGGACCCTCATTATGTTACTGCGTTAGTGTGGGGCTATTTTGAGCTTTGTTAGTGGTATAAACTAGCGATTTCTTTTTACTTACTCAATGCCCCCATTACTAGCATTATACGCTAAACAGTTTTTAGAGATAAAACTCTTTACATTCGATTATCATGAAAACAAAACTCAGAGAACGGTTGACTGTGTACCGATGTTTTATTAGACCAAAGGTTCATTGTTCGCCGGAGTTCTCCTTTAAAGGATAATTTCGTATTTAACACCTTGAGTCTATTTTGTAGTTTGTTTTGAATGAAATAGAGTGGTGGACTTAGAAATTTCGACATTGGGTCCTGTCTCGACTTTTTGACTATTTTACAATCGCCTATGAGAGCTTTAGACTGGTTATCTATGGGCATGCACAAACATGTCCTTAAAACAACCCTTAACGTTCATTTTCAAAACTGTGCAACTCACCGAGTGGTTGGTGGTGTTCGTTGATGATTAAAAACAAATATATCGGCGCAATGTATGCGTTCAATCCGTGTTGTTTGCTATTGTGGAACTATTTATTCAGATACCTCACAACCGCGTATAAACTTCCGCTCGATATTTGAGTCTGAAGCGTTAGCACACTCCCGACCACTTGATGGCGACAACCAGGACGCTGTACGGACACTGTGTCTAGCGCACCGGAAAAAAAGTCAGACACAGTCGAATATGGCAAGATGGAGAACCGAGCAAAAAGACTACAACCACATGTAAACAGACCCCTTTCAGTTTTTTCCGGTAGCTAGCGCAGTAATATCAACGAACACTGAGTCCTCCAGCAGACATCAATGCGATTTTAAAAAATGACAAATAAAACACGACAGAAACGGTATTTCGCTACGCTACTTGTTTCGGGAACATCAACGAACACCACCAACCACTCGGTGAGTTGCACAGTTTTGAAAATGAACGTTAAGGGTTGTTTTAAGGACATGTTTGTGCATGCCCATAGACACCCAGTCTAAAGCTCTCACAGGCGATTGTAAAATAGTCAAAAAGTCGAGACAGGACCCAATGTCAAAATTTCTAAGTCCACCACTCGATTTCATTCAAAACAAACTACAAAATAGACTCAAGGTGTTAAATACTAGAATTATCCTTTAAAGTGTAAGGTCAATCAGTGTCCAGGACCGCGATTGTTATTTCCAAAAGTTATTTTTAACGGACGGAACCAGATTGGCCGACGCGTAGCCTTCACAAGCTCACTCAATGCATGGACGATCTGACAGGATTAACGTACGTTACCTCAGATGAGTGGCCTGACTTCTACACCGATCGTAAAGAGAAACTGAGGGCATATAAATCTTTAGATGCCTATATGGTCCTGTACAAGACTTGTGTGTACGATCCACAGTTCTGCGCTGAGACGACCACAATGTAAACAGTGACATTACGGTGCGATTTTAATGATGTGAATATTTTCTAGAAATAAAAATTCCAGATACAGCATATTCATTTTTCATCGATTCTTACACCAAACAACACAATAAGATGACATTTAATAATAATAAAAGTAATTTAAGCTCCTTATTATGTAGCCGAATTTGTGCTGTTTTGTATTGGCCGCCTCTAGTTTTCACTTTGTTTTGCCTCCAGCTAGCGCCGTGACGTAACTGTGACGTCGGCGCAAAAGGGGTCTATAGGCGAAACAAAGGCCTCGATATACTCACGGCCAAGATCTTCTTCATACGGGTCAAAAGACGTTTGAGATTCGTTTGTAGCGAAGTGCTGTTAGCGAACATCCCGCCTCCGTTCACTCTGCTGAGAGTGACGCCCGGCTCCGCGTGACCTTTGTGTAGTGTGCACCGCCGTAGGGCCCAAATTATATTTTTAAAGGGATAGTTCACTTTGAAATTAATTTTTGATATGTTTTATCTTACCTCAAGGGGATCCAAGATGTAGGTGTCTTTGTTTCCACAGTATTTTCAATTTTGACATGTTTCAGTCAAACCGTTGTTGTCTATCAGTCATACACTGGAGGCTAAGGGGGTCCACCAAAGAGCAGCACAGAGAAGTCCAAATTAAACATGATTTAATGACTCGTAAATGTAAGTACACATTGATGGCCTAAGACACGAAACGAGCGGATTGTGTGAGAAAACCAACAGTATTTATATGGTTTTTACCTCGTGTAATCACAGTGATCTGAATCAGTTGTTCAATGTCCGACTGAACCGAACTGAATCAGTTCAATGTTGCGCCGGAAGTGATCGCTTGCGTGTGACGTCACTCAATATTTACACGGAGATTTCGGAAGTTTTACCTTTTACTAAACATATTGAGATATACCGTAATCGTCTTTCATTGCGGTTTCCCGTATATCTAAATATGTTTAGTGAAAGGTAAAACTTCGGAAATCTCTGTATAAACAAAGAGAGACGTCGGTGCGCAAGCGATCACTTCCAGCGCATGCGCAGACCGTGCCGTCAGATCATTTTGTCATGGCTGTGGCTACAAGAGGTAAAAACGATATAAATACTGTTGGTTTTCTCACACAATCCGCTCGTTTCGTGTCTTAGGCCATCAGTGTGTACTTACATGTACGAGTCATTAAATCATGTTTAATTTGGACTTCTCTGTGCTGCTCTTTGGTGGACCCCTTTAGCCTCCAGTGTATGACTGACAGACAACAACGGTTTGACTGAAAAATGTCAAAATTGAAAATACTGTGGAAACAAAGACACCTACATCTTGGATCCCCTTGAGGTAAGATAAAACATATCAAAAATTAATTTCAAAGTGAACTATCCCTTTAATGTGATTAAAACTTGAAAAGTGCCTTTAAAATAAAAGCAATAGGAAATATCCTTGAACATGGAAAGCAATAGAAATGAAATGAGTTTTGGAAGTGAGCCGGGTTGAATTATATTTCCCATGGTAGATAAACGTCAATGGATGACGTTTAAATAAAGCAATGGACGCTGGTTGTAATAGGATTGAACAAATATTATGAACAAATGAACATTTAATTTGCGTATTATTAATTCAATTATTATTTAAAAACAAAATGTTCTAGAGCTTGTGCCTATAAACACACAATAAAAATGCCAGCGGTGAGAAAGCGTCGGATCATTGTTTTCCCCAGCTCTGTGATTCAGCACTTCAGTCTCGTCATGTTCATGTATACAGCACTTTATACTGTAGATTGCTGTAAAGCAGCAGTTTTACTGTATTAAACATAAAAAACAGTGTCGGTCACAATTACAGCTTCAGTTTCTACTATAAAGCGGTTCTCCGGGGTGTTCATGTTACTCGCGTCTGACCTCGACGATAGAAATGAGCCTGAGAAGATTTACACCTCAGAGAGGGCGGAGCCTCAGAGCCACGCCCCCCTATTACATCGTCACGATGATTCAATGATGTACAATAACCATTTCTCTGTTCTCCAGAGCTTCTTTGAGGGCCAGTCTGCTTCATGGGATGCAGCAAAGAAAGAGCAAAATCGAACGAAGAATCGATATGGGAACATCATTGCATGTAAGAGTGTATGATATCTCTCTAAAGAACTGGCTGCCCACACTACGTTTTTCTCTACGTCCACAGACAGTTTTATAGTCATTAAAGGGATACTCCTCTTTTTTTTTTTTTTGGAAATAGGCTCATTTTACCACTCCCCCAGAGTTGGGTTTTACCGTTTTTGAATGTATTCAACGGATTTTTTTATATTTAGAAGAATTTCAGTAACCAGACAGTTTCTGGACCAGAAACTGTCTGATTACTGATATTCTTCTAAATATATATAAAAAAAACGACTGAATGGATTCGAAAACGGTAAAACTCGACTGTTTAACTCTGGGGGAGTGGTAAAATGAGCCTATTTCCAAAAAAGGGGGAGTATTCTCAAAAGGTAAACATCTGGATGCTTTATGCCTGGTTCGGATTACACGATTTTTTTGTCTGTTACGATAGTTAAGGTGTCAGATTACGCGATTTTGACTCCTAAATTCTTGTCGTGTCGTGGACACATGTTGCTTCCTGACCCGTCTTTAGCGGCGCGCGTGATGTCATCGAGAAGGCGAAACTAGTAGCGAGTGACTTCGAATGAACGTAAACAATCAATGGATGAAGCGGTGAGTGTTGTATTGGCTGTCCTGTGTTCAGAAAACAGTAAAGTAAGAAAGAAAACCCGACAATGGATACGTTCCTGGATTGCTGGAAGAGGACAGTGTGGGCTGTCGATCCTCCAAAGAGAACTTGAGGTAAAATATTGTTTTCTTATATATTTTTACTTTTAGTGTTAACGTTAGCACCATCGTCTCTCTTTCGTTGTGTACGGAAACGCTTCTGTGCTCCTATTGGTCAACCTCACACATGTGACGGAACCGTCGTGGACGAGCGTTAAAAATATTAAACACGCTAGTCTTTTTGTCGTGATGTCGTGTAGCATCGCAGGCGCGACGTAGGTTGTCGCCCACTATGACACACTATACAATCGAATCTTGCGTCCCGTCGTTTACGAATCCCCGCGACACCCTACGTCAAACGGATCGTGCCAAAATCGCGTAATCTGAACCAGGCTTGATGGCAACGAGGATAATATCACCAAGCAAATAATCGTAAAAAAATATACATCATTTGTATGACTCTTGAGGTGAAATATGACCAGAACATGTCTTCATGAGGTTCACCCTGCCGGAACTTAAAATGGCGGCACCGGAGAGCCGTTATTAGCATTGAGAATGCATGTGTTGCGTAGCTCACATCCAGCGAGCCTAGAGAAAGCAAGTGTTTTACCCTGACTTTGCTCTGTTTGGCGCTGTAGACGATCATTCTCGAGTGATCCTGCAGCCAATGGAAGACGACCCCTCGTCCGACTACATAAATGCCAACTACATTGATGTAAGTGGCGATGCCGCCTCCTCCTCCATTGGCGAACGTGTGAGAAACGTCTCTCCCTCCCTCGTATGTGAGGTCTTTTATGCATGCCTTTGTCTCAACTATACTCAATTTACAGCTTTCTTTTCTTCCTTGTTGGAGGTGCTTGCTGACTCACTGACATTGTTGTGCTCTCTCTCACTCTTGTGCGGTTGGTTTGGGGGCGGTAGATTTGGCTGTACAGGGATGTAAGTATCACTGTAGGGCACATTCACATTCACACACCCTCTCTGTGTCACCCATCCATCAGCATGCGCTCTCTCTCTCTCTCTCTCTCTCTCCGCACGACACACACTGCTGCTTCTCCTCTGGATGTTCACACCCCTGGCCTGTGTTTTAGTTAACCCTCATGATTTTGGTGTTGTGTGTTTTGCTGGGAGGGGGGGGATGATGTCGGGTCTCCCCGCAGTGTGTGTTTGATTCTGTTTGAAATTGTGGTGTGGATTACGAGTGTCATAACTTGAAAAACCTAACTATTAAAAACCTCATTTAGTTCAGGGCTTGACATTAACACCCGCCAACCCAACCCGCCAAATGTGTGTGTGTTTCAGCAGTTGTGTGTAACGCAGTCACTCCTACTTGCCACTTTGGCGGGTTGAAATTGATATCTAATATATGCATTTTTCAATTGTAGTCTTTTAAAAAGGCATCTGAAATAATAAAGTGCAATGTAATGTTGTCTAAAATAGTGATTTTTCGATACATATCGATTAGGGCTGGGTAATAAATATCAATTATCGATTTCTCGATTTTAATCGATTCTCATTTTTACGAACCGATATCGATTCTTAAATCTCAAGAATCGATTAGTCATCCTGTTTCATTTGAATGAATGGATCATTGTATCGCGGCTGCGCGCATCCAAAAAAAATCGCAATAATCTTTGTCCTTTGTTACTATTGATATGAAACAGAGTCTCAATGTTCAAATTACGTCCATTTTCTTTAGAAATTCAAAAACATAAATAGCGTTTTGTCGCTGTGGCGTGAGATCGCTCTGGAGAAGCAGCAGCGCTGATCTCTCTTCCGGCTTAATAATACCAGTTACAGCGCCAAATAAACATGAATGAGCATCTGAAAGTGTGTTAAAGATAGAGTACAACTTATCCAAATCCGGATCATGTCACATTGATTCACTCAATCAGCGTTTCAACCGTGGAAAGACGTCAGTTAAACAGCTTGTAATCAATGTATCGTCATATTTACCTCAGAAAACCCACATAAACTCGTTAGTCAGCTAGAAAAAATAACTCTAGAGAGGAGCATTTTGCTAAATATCTACACCATATTACATATACATTATAATCTTAATGTTCTTCAATATTTAATGCATATTTGAATAAATCTGGCAAGTTTTTATGACAGCCACCATTTAAATGTTTATATTTCATATAATCGTCTTATTATAAAAATAAATAAAAGTGTAATTTAAGTGTTTGTATAGCTACTAAACAGTTCATTATTACCTTCATATTAGGCTAATGAAGCCTATAGGCTACAACTAGACTCCCATAGTTTACAGCATTAGTTAAGAGATTTGATTCCTTTGAGAAAAACTGCCATTTATTGTAACTGATATCCAAAATAATCAATATTGAATCAAATCGGAATCGAAATCGAATCGAATTGCAAGCTTGTGAATCGAAATCGAATCGAATTGTGAAATTTGTCTCAATACCCAGCCCTAGTATCGATACTGAAATATGCGCTTTATCTGTCTTGTCTCTCCAACTGCAAGTTAAGCCTGTCCCTTTACTCACTTGTTTCATTCGCTCCGGATGAATATTGTTGCTCTTACAGGGCTTGAATATTAGCCTGGGATTGTGTGTATTGCACATAATTTGACTCATTCTTGCAGATTTTGTGTGGCACATGTAGTCTCTCAGTGATCATTGAGTTATTTTGCACTGCTTACTGAGCTTGAATAGTCCAATACACACAAAATAAAGTCCAAATGTAACAGTGTAATAGTGCGTCAGGTCTTAAAGTGACAGTAGCCTAATAAACCTGCTGTCAAATAGAGTGCCGAAGTGATGACGTCACTTTGTAGGACAACTCGGAAGCTAGCGGCGCATGGGTTCCCTCCGTCGAAAAGCAATGCATTTTCCCCATAGACTTTTGGAAAATCGCAAAAAATAAGATCTGTGTTTAACAAAGAGTTGTGACCCTTACACGTTTTGTCTAGCAAGATAATCTTTACAAGTTAATCCAAAATGTATACATTTTGAAGCCTACATAAAAATAAAAAAAAACACAATCAGACACAATAAAGTTTAAAAAAAAACACAAGCAGGTTATAACTGTGTGTTCTATGTCAGAGATCAAAACGTGAATATATTTAGAGGCTTTGTTTACCACAGACCTTATTTCAGGCGATTTAGCAAATACCCATTAAAAAATCCCGAGCGAGGGAACCGTAATGCTAAAATGCTAACTCACTTCCGCGTTTTGGCCGACAGAGTGACGTCGTAACTTCGGCACTCTATTATGAGATCATATAAAAAAGTTTTTCCCCATGGTATCTTTGTAAACAAGTAGTACCTGTGGAAAACCACTAGGCACAGTGTCCGGTGAGCAACAAAGTTAATGTCAAGCCCTGGTGGCCCACTGTAAAAGTGAATTAATCTCAGATGACTCGATTGTATTTAAGATCGTACTCCGTCTTTTATAGTTGTGACTAAATCCTCGTTTGTGTTTCTCTCGCAGGGATACCAAAGGCCCAGCCATTACATTGCAACTCAAGGTAAATGAGAACTGTGAAAATGCTGCTTTCTTTATTGCCAAGAACATAAACGGACAGGTGCTTAAATAATACAACGAGACGTTTGGAAAGTGTGTATGCTCTTAAATCTAAAAGTTTTAGCGAGTATCATTCGAACTGTTTACTGGTGTAAAAACAGATGACTGTCTTAAATGATATCTTCTCTCGTGTACCATTATAACACGAGCACATTCTGCACTATATCACAGTGTGTTCGACTTCAGCTAGCATGTTTTCATAGCATGACTGGATCTTTCACATAAGCATGCATTAAAGAAATAAAGCCCGAGCTTGGTGCCGCCCACAGGCCCGGTCCACGAGACGGTGTACGACTTCTGGAGGATGATCTGGCAGGAGCAGTCGGCCTGTATCGTCATGGTAACCAACCTAGTGGAGGTGGGCCGGGTATGTCACTATACTGCCTGCTGAGGGGCCGTCCCGTGTGTGTGTTTGCTCTGTGATGTGACCTGAAGGCCCCAGCCTGCACAAACCCTTTAGAAGAGTGAGCCAGGACTAGTAATCGAGGACAAAAAGCCTGTCGGTCACAGGTCACGATTCAGCCCAAAATCTAAAGAAAGAAAACACTCATTTTTGGCACTTCTCAAAGGGTTGATGCATGTGTATGAACTATGTATTTTGTATATGTTTGCATGTTTTGTTAAATGGTATCATCATGCACAAGTGAGTGCATATGAAATGATGTTAACCCTTTTCAATAAGGTTCAATAGTTAACAATGAACAATACTTCAGCAGCTCTTATTCATCTACTTTCAACAATTACTGATACATTATCAAAATCAAATCTTGTATTTTTTAACATTAATGCACTGTGAACACACTGTATTTTGATCAACTAACATTAACAAAGATTAGGGATGCACCGATATGAAAATTTTGGCCGATACCGATAATTCTTTATATTTGAAGGCCGATAACCGATATATCGGCCGATAAACTTAAATCCAAATTTTTATCTAATTTCTGAGAGCCTGATTACAAAAACAAAAGTCTCATAATTAAATCCATGTCCCAAGCACACGATTATATTGATGTTCTCATTATAGTGTTGTATAGCCGATATGACAGATGTTGTCCCGAACCAGATTTTCATTTTTTGAAGAGATTTCAATCATATTTCAAGAAATTCAAAAGCATAAACAGTGCTCAACAAGTGTGAATAATACATTATTTATCGGCTTTAATATATCGGCCAAATTTTCTTACCAGGCCGATGACGATAACATTAAAAATGAACATAAATCAGCCGATACCGATATGCTGGCCGATATATCGTGCATCCCTAACAAAGATTAATAAATACTGTGACAAATGTATTCCTCATTGTTAGTTAATACATTAATGAACCTTATTGTAAAGTGTTACCGAGATGATTTCACAGCAGTCTTTGGCCCGGTTTCACACACCAGGATTAGGCTTTAGTTCAGTTAAGACATTCACATTGTCATGAATTTCTGAAAGAACCCAATAGCAGACAGTTTGTAGAACACACAAGGTTTATTGAGGACAAAAACAGGAATGAGGGGGAAAAAGAAACAAATAATAATGACTCTAGACTTCAGACTTGACAATAAACTACACAAGATCTTCACTCTTAGATGAAATGGTACTATTTAGAACCAGAAATGGTTCCATCCCCCGCTTCATATATGGAACTCCAAACCTTTTTTTTTTTGGTAAAAGGTTCTATTGGCCAAGTATGGAACCCCAGGGTTCTATATAAAACCCAGAGGAACCCTTTTTTTAAGAGTGTATAGAACCTTTTAGGGGTTCCAAATACATAGCGCTGATAGAACCTTTTAAGGTTCTATATAGAACCTTTTCTTCTAAGAGTGTAACAGCCAATACAAGATAACTACTTCACTAAACACAACTCTTGACAAAGTACTCGCAGGTATAAAACAAAGTTTGACAATGAACCGGCACAGGACAGCACACACAAGGGGAGAAACTAACGAAAGGAACTAGGGATTGACGACAAGACGAGGATAACAAGGGGACGGGGTAACGTAACGAACAACACAAGCACATGACCCAAACAACAGGCCATGCGCTTGTACACAAAACATGATTCTGTCATGATCCTGTCTCAAAACCAGAGAAAATCAAGGACACTAAGGCAGAATCAGGACACACATGGCTTTTATAAACGTGCCTTAGAAAAACACATTATTTGTGTGCATCTTCAGACCAAACTATGACACTGACATATTTTAAGAGATGCTTTCAGTTAAAACAACATGAGTTTATATCTCGATCTAGGCTTAATCTTTCTCTGTGAAACTGGGGGTTTATGACACAAAAATGATCATTGGACTGAACATCTCAAGCGGGATTTACCGTTTTTTACAATCACTTTGCTACTATTTTCAGGACCTTGATGTCATTTTTCAAAACTCTAGACGCAAAACGTTTATCACCTGCGTGGCTGTCTAATGTTCAAAACGTTGTGTGTACACTACGTTCACATCTTTAAAGAAATCTTGCACTTGCACAATCATTAGTTCAAAAAACAAATTTACTGTGAAATACCATTGAAACATAACTGTCATGATTTACTGTAAACATGGAAGTAGAGCTAGACCGATATATCGGCCGGCCGATATTAGGCATTTTCCATAATATCGGTATCGGCAGTTATAATGGCCGATAAATGAATATTTCAAAAATAAAATAAAAACGGACGAAACGCGCTTTAATCATCTCTCCTCGGCCTGTTATATTGAAAATGTATGTTTTACAATTTGCAGTATGACGTTATCTATTGCTAATCATAGACTAGCTAACCACAAAGCTAGCTAATGCCACTATCGTCAGTGGAAGACCGCTAACGTTAACATTAATGAGTTTGGAAACCACAATGAACTTTTTCTGCCTAAATAAAGTAATGATTACTGTATTTATAACTAGCATATCTCTAGTTACAGTCTCTGCATTGTAAAATGTAAGTTATACTTGCGAGGAGTGAACATTTAGACATAGAGAAAAAGTATCAAACGTATCTTGTGCAGAAAAGTTAGCTTTTCTTTTACACGTGTGTGAAATCCAACAATATTTAATACAATATATATATATATATCGGCCGATATATCGGAATATCGGATTTTAAAACACAAAAATATTTGTATCGGTATCGGCGTTCAAAATCCTTTATCGGTCGGGCTCTACATGGAAGATTGTGTGTCTGTTTCCATACAACTACATTAAGAGTAATGCAACAGTTTCTTATCGTTTTAAGCAGTTGTATCGATTGATAGGAAATGATAGACACTCATTTGAAATGTAATCTGTAAATTACCTTTTGAAATAGTCGTACTGTGATGTTCAGTTGTGTCATATTCAACAGTTGATTTGTGTTATGAGAAATGGATTAAAGTTTTGAAAAATGAGTTTTTTTCTAGAGTTTTGAAAAATGACATCAAGGTTCTGAAAATAGTAACAAAGTGATTGTAAATAACTAAGATATAAGCAATGAATAACTGAGACTGCTGTGAATCAAGATGCTTCTGTGTCGATCAGGGGTGCGTTTCCCGAAAGCATCGTTAGCCAACTATGGTCGCAAGTTTCGTCATTATCTGCATAGTTTAACGAGTCGTTTCCCGAAACCATCGTTCCAACGAACATTCGCAAACAGCATCACAAAGTTGTTTGGTTTGAACGACTCTCGACCTGTGGTTAGAGGCATCGTTTCTATACTGCATGACATTTGGAGGTAATAAATCGTTATCTTGAGCAAAATAAGCAAGCTAACATTCAGTACAACCGGTGCCTTTTATTTAGAATACACACAAATAGCTAAAATAGTTTGAAGTAACGTGTTTGAAGAGTGCGCATGTGCGAACGTGCTCTAGGAGTCAAATATTGAGTCTGCTAATAAAGCAAAACAACTGAGAACAATTAGAAATAGTCCTCAGATGACATGTCTGTAATTTATATAAAACAAATCTAGCGTTAATTGGATCTCAAACAGCTTCATTAAAAGTAGTTATTACTCAACCACGCGCGAAACCAACGTGGTTGAAGGATACTTTGCGACGATGGGTTTCGGGAAACAGTCGTGACTAGCTAGTTGATTTTTCCAACGATGCATCGTACTATGGTAGTGAAGCAGCAAACTACATCGTTGTACGGGAAACGCACCCCAGTATGGTTAAAGACATCTTCTAATGAAAGTGTATTAAATGAATGTGCTGCAGGTTGTGTTCTCGATACAGTCCTGTATTCTGCGTTTGATTGGTCTCGTCCTCCTGCAGGTGAAATGCTATAAGTACTGGCCGGATGATGCTGAAGTGTACGGAGATTTCAAAGTGACGTTTGTGGAGGTGGAGCCGCTTGCTGAATACGTTGTCAGGACTTTCACTCTGGAGAGGGTGAGGCTGTTTTTGACCAAGTTTAAACCTTCAGTCTTCGGTGGCGAGCGTTACTGATATTCCGGGGCTCTGGAGGAAATGTTTCATGTATACAGCAGACCCACAACGCATGTGTGGACACATTTGAGCTCACGGTTATAAATGTGTGCCCTCGTTAGGGCTGCAGTCTTTAGCCTCCTTGCTAGAGTGCCCGACTCTCACGCCGGAGACCCGGGTTCGAGGCCCACTCGGAGCGGGGTGAGTAGGACCCGGGTGTGAGGGGTTACATTGGTGCCGTGACCCGGATGTCAGTGAGGTTTAGGGGCGTGAGTGTAACGGAGGCCAGCTAGTAGTTGCTGTGCGAGTAAACCTCACTCCCCTGATCTCAATAGGCACTCTAGCGACAGACGCTAGAGGCTGCAGTCTTTAGCCTCCTTGCTAGAGCGTCCGACTCTCACGCCGGAGACCCGGGTTCGAGGCCCGCTCGGAGCGGGGCGAGTAGGACCCGGGTGCGAGGGGTTACATGTGTGTGTGTGTCAAATGCTGCTGGATCTTTTCTCTTCACTAACGCCACTTTTCTACACCATGTTTGATGTCTGGATGTGTTTTGAATCACATTAAAGTGGGTCAGTTAGTCCAATCAGTTTGTCCTTTTATCCCTCTGGTGCCATTCGTCTTGTTTGACCAAAACATCTTACGTTTTTTTTTGTTTTTTTTTACCACATTGTAATGGTAAAACACTTGGTGAAGGTTTTGGCACTACACTCTTAGAAGAAATGGTTCTATTTAGAACCAGATATGGTTCCATCCCCCGCTTCAACTCCAAAATGGTTCTATATAGAACCATTTTTTTTTTTTTGGTAAATGATTCTATTGGCCAAGTATGGAACCCCAGGGTTCTATATAGAACCCAGAGGAACCCTTTTTTTAAGAGTGTATAGAACGTTTTAGGGGTTCCAAATACGTAGCACTGATAGAACCTTTTAAGGTTCTATATAGAACCTTTTCTTCTAAGAGTGTAGCTGTGTGAACACAGAAATCATGGACAGAAAGGTTAAATATAATCCTGAAAAAACACTTATTGTTCGTGGTCAAAAACGAGCGCATTGGAAATGAATGGGAGACGAATTTCATCTAGTGGACTCATTTGTTACTGCGCCTAAACAAATTTTTACTGAAAGCTCGTTTTTTGAAAAACCTCAAATTTGGAGCACGGCTTAGTTAGATTAGTATGGATTTTTCACAGTAAACCGTATATAATGTAATGGTATATGGTTGAATGGTAGATGGTATTTTTGTGCCTTTTTAATTTGCAAGTTCCCTTTTTTAAACTATTTTCACTCCAGCAATAATCTGCCAACGGTCGTCTTCGAAAATAGACCCAACTAAAGTCTGTATGCAAGATTGTGGCCAAAACTGGTACTGCAATCAGTTTCAAATTACTGTAGAGCGGTGTATCCCCTCCCCCTCCCCCCTGACTTGAGGTTGCCAGATCCAACATTTGTAATGACTCAAGTGTTACTACATGATCTAGTCATGATTTGTGCAAACGTTTGAGATTTTTGGTGAACCTTAGTATACTTTTAGAAAATGTCTTTAGTAACACTTGAGTCATTACTAGTTAGTTCCAATGATCTTCACTTTATAATACGGATCCAAATAATTAGTAATTCCCACAGAAGTATCTAGTAACACTTTCATCTGTGAGCTATTACTTACTAATTCGTTCATAAGAGTTTCTTGTTAGTTAATAATAGTTACAAGATTGTTAATATTGTGTTGCTCATTGGTTCTTGTGTAGTTATTCATTAACGAAGGAAACGTATTCTAAAGTGTTACCGATTTTAGTTTTTGATAATCCGCTAGGTTTGGATATAGGCCACAATACGGAAGAAAAGATTTCAACTTTAGCACTGTGATCCATCTTCTACTCTGCATCTGCTTTTACGCCATAAAGCTTACACTTCTGTCTTTACACTTGCCTCGATATATTATCATTAGTGTGACTGAAGTGTCCAGATACTAATTGGGGATACTAATTTTTTTTTTTTCACAGAGGGGTTTTAACGAGGTGCGAGAGGTGAAGCAGTTTCATTTCACCGGCTGGCCCGATCACGGGGTCCCGTACCACGCCACAGGACTGCTGTCATTCATCCGCCGGGTGAAGATGTCCAACCCTCCCACCGCCGGGCCCATCGTGGTCCACTGCAGGTACTGCACACACCCCTAGCGCTCAACACTAAATGAAGCTAAATTATGGCTTGGGCCCAGTCTTTAAAGGGATGCTTTAGGATTTAGCATTAAGCCTTGTATTTGTAGGAAACATGTAGTATTTTCAAATTACCACCCTCATATCACCCTGAGACGAGAGATTTATGTACTTTTTGTCTGGAAAAAATCATCATATTTCATCATCAGAGAATGTTTTGTCCAGAGGCTGAAGACTACAGTCAGCAGTCGGATCTGTCCCACATGTCCTCAACCCGCCCATAGAGGGCGATCTCACTCACAGAATGAACACATGGTGTCGGCCATCTTTTTTTTGGAAGCTAAGCTAGCAGGCTCTTGTTCTGTGGAGAAAGCTGAGTAGTATGGGTTACCATCCTCTTTTCACCGGACATGTCCGGACGTCGTTGTCCGGGATTCAGCTTTTGCTTTCTGCAGTCGCCATTCATTGTTTACATGCACAGCTTTTGTTTCAAACTAACTGAATTCATTCCCAGATTGGTGAATCTGAATGTCGTGTCAAACATAGATATCTATATAAAGGCTAGATATCTCGTCCGCACTGCTGGCCAATGGAGGTCGACGTCAGCGCCTGGCGGCCATCTTGTCACAGGCAGCATTGTTTTAATGGTGCATGTACTTTTTAAATCACCGTAACTTGCTCAATTGTCTACCGATTTTCAAACGGTCTGGTTTGTTATAAACGGCAGAGATGGAGTTATGATACTTATGAATAATAAGTTATCATAACTTATCATATTTATACACTTATTATTCATAAGTTATACTTATGAATAATAAGTGTATAAATAAATAATCATCCAGAATTATAGCCACGTTGATAACGTTTGTAAGAAACCAAACCGTTTGTAAACCCGTCAGGAGATAAGAGTATTTCTTACATCAGATACCACAGAGCCCGCCAGAAAGCCTGTCTGTGACAAGATGGCCGCCGGTGATGACGATAAATACTCCGCCGTGAGACATCTAGCCTTTATATAGATATCTATGGTGTCAGACATGAATCCTAGACATCTTGGGCAATCTGGAAGCACATTTTCGGGCAGACTTGTTGTTTAACGACTGCGCTCTGTTACCGGTAGGCGTGGCCTCCTAAGGCAGCGAAGCAAGTGCATTCTGGGAGTTGTTGTCTTTAAATGACCCATTTTAAATACACATTCATCTCTCCTGAGGTGAAGTATCCCTTTAACAGCTGTCATGTGTAAAAGTGGCTAATCAAACGTCATGATTCCCAGTTCTAGTTTGAAGACGGAGGTGATTGCAGAATTGGTCATATTTGAATGACCTCTGCGGAGCCACAGTTTGAGGTTTCTCTCTTCTTCTTCTACACATGGTTGTGTTGTCGGCTCGCCTCTGCTGATGTGTAGAACCAGTCCTGTGTTGTAGAGGAGAATGCATTGTCATTGGTTAATGACATCATTTCCTGATGGCACCACAGCTCATCAGCATGAGCGAGGGGTCTTGTGGTAGGTTCTGTCACTTTGTCCCCCTCACACACACACACACATCTACCAGCGTCCACATCTGACACTGTTGGCCAGTTGATGATGACTCCTCCTGCCAGATGTGAGAAATGGGCCCAAAACCATTCTACCATTCAGCATTACCGCGTTGCCTGCCGTTCTGCCCCCAAGAACAGGATGTGGTCTCATCTGCATTGCTGCGTGCAACAAAAAAAACAATCCCATGATGCAGCTTTCTTTTCCTTTCAACTTGTTAACAGTGTTTGATTGCTGCTGTCTTTGTGGCATTCTGTGTACATTCAGTCAAACGGCAAAAGCATGAACGATTTCAAACCCAGATTATCCAGAGTTAATGCAGTAAAGAGGGTCCTGATGGTTGATTCGTCACAGTAGTTGACGGACACATCCGGATGGGTTTAGAGCATTACTGCGGTGTATTAGTCCTTACATTTTAGTGTTTTGTCTAAAGCACATAAAGTCCGTACTGAAAGTGTACAAATGTGAGAATACCATCCTGATAGACAGCTGATTTCACACACACACGTCTGTTTTTTGCGCTCTGAAGAGCGTCATGGGTTTCTATGGAAGCTTGTTTCCGCCATAGAATGAAAAATATAAAAGGTACTTACGACTTTTTATCTCACAATTCTGACTTTTTTTTTCTCACAAATGCGAGTTTGCTTCTCGCAATTCTGACATTATTTCTCACAATTGCGAGATGGAAAGTCAGAATTGTGAGATATAAAGTCAGAATTGCGAGATATAAAGTCAGAATTGTGAGATATAAAGTCAGAATTGTGAGATATAAAGTCAGAATTGCGAGATATAGTCGCAATTGTGAGATATAAAGTCGCAATTGTGAGATATAAAGTCGGAATTGTGAGATATAAAGTCGCAATTGTGAGATATAAAGTCGCAATTGTGAGATATAAAGTCAGAATTGTGTGATATAAAGTCAGAATTGCGAGATATAAAGTCAGAATTGTGAGATAAAAAGTCGCAATTGTGAGATATACAGTCAGAATTGTGAGATATAAAGTCAGAATTGTGTGATATAAAGTCAGAATTGCGAGATATAAAGTCAGAATTGTGAGATAAAAAGTCGCAATTGTGAGATATAAAGTCAGAATTGCGAGATATAAAGTCAGAATTGTGAGATAAAAAGTCGCAATTGTGAGATATAAAGTCGGAATTGTGAGATATAAAGTCGCAATTGTGAGATATAAAGTCAGAATTGTGTGATATAAAGTCAGAATTGCGAGATATAAAGTCAGAATTGTGAGATATAAAGTCGCAATTGTGAGATATAAAGTCGGAATTGTGAGATATAAAGTCGCAATTGTGAGATATAAAGTCGCAATTGTGAGATATAAAGTCAGAATTGTGTGATATAAAGTCAGAATTGCGAGATATAAAGTCGGAATTGTGAGATATAAAGTCGGAATTGTGAGATATAAAGTCGCAATTGTGAGATATAAAGTCAGAATTGTGTGATATAAAGTCAGAATTGCGAGATATAAAGTCTGAATTGTGAGATATAAAGTCGCAATTGTGAGATATAAAGTCGGAATTGTGAGATATAAAGTCGGAATTGTGAGATATAAAGTCAGAATTGCGAGATATAAAGTCGGAATTGTGAGATATAAAGTCGCAATTGTGAGATATAAAGTCAGAATTGTGTGATATAAAGTCAGAATTGCGAGATATAAAGTCAGAATTGTGAGATATAAAGTCGGAATTGTGAGATATAAAGTCGCAATTGTGAGATATAAAGTCAGAATTGTGTGATATAAAGTCAGAATTGTGAGATATAAAGTCGCAATTGTGAGATATAAAGTCGCAATTGTGAGATATAAAGTCGGAATTGTGAGATATAAAGTCGGAATTGTGAGATATAAAGTCGCAATTGTGAGATATAAAGTCAGAATTGTGTGATATAAAGTCAGAATTGCGAGATATAAAGTCTGAATTGTGAGATATAAAGTCGCAATTGTGAGATATAAAGTCGGAATTGTGAGATATAAAGTCGGAATTGTGAGATATAAAGTCAGAATTGCGAGATATAAAGTCAGAATTGTGAGATATAAAGTCGCAATTGTGAGATATAAAGTCGCAATTGTGAGATATAAAGTCAGAATTGTGTGATATAAAGTCAGAATTGCGAGATATAAAGTCGGAATTGTGAGATATAAAGTCGCAATTGTGAGATATAAAGTCAGAATTGTGTGATATAAAGTCAGAATTGTGAGATATAAAGTCGCAATTGTGAGATATAAAGTCGGAATTGTGAGATATAAAGTCGGAATTGTGAGATATAAAGTCAGAATTGCGAGATATAAAGTCAGAATTGTGAGATATAAAGTCGCAATTGTGAGATATAAAGTCGGAATTGTGAGATATAAAGTCAGAATTGCGAGATATAAAGTCGGAATTGTGAGATATAAAGTCGGAATTGTGAGATATAAAGTCGCAATTGTGAGATATAAAGTCAGAATTGTGTGATATAAAGTCAGAATTGCGAGATATAAAGTCAGAATTGTGAGATATAAAGTCGCAATTGTGAGATATAAAGTCGGAATTGTGAGATATAAAGTCAGAATTGCGAGATATAAAGTCAGAATTGTGAGATATAAAGTCAGAATTGCGAGATATAAAGTCGCAATTGCGAGATATAAAGTCGCAAGATATAAAGTCGCAATTGTGAGATATAAAGTCAGAATTGTGAGATATAAAGTCAGAATTGTGTGATATAAAGTCGCAATTGTGAGATATAAAGTCGCAATTGTGAGATATAAAGTCAGAATTGTGTGATATAAAGTCAGAATTGCGAGATATAAAGTCGGAATTGTGAGATATAAAGTCGCAATTGTGAGATATAAAGTCGGAATTGTGAGATATAAAGTCGGAATTGTGAGATATAAAGTCAGAATTGCGAGATATAAAGTCAGAATTGTGAGATATAAAGTCGCAATTGTGAGATATAAAGTCGCAATTGTGAGATATAAAGTCAGAATTGTGTGATATAAAGTCAGAATTGCGAGATATAAAGTCGGAATTGTGAGATATAAAGTCGCAATTGTGAGATATAAAGTCAGAATTGTGTGATATAAAGTCAGAATTGTGAGATATAAAGTCGCAATTGTGAGATATAAAGTCGGAATTGTGAGATATAAAGTCGGAATTGTGAGATATAAAGTCAGAATTGCGAGATATAAAGTCAGAATTGTGAGATATAAAGTCGCAATTGTGAGATATAAAGTCGGAATTGTGAGATATAAAGTCAGAATTGCGAGATATAAAGTCGGAATTGTGAGATATAAAGTCGGAATTGTGAGATATAAAGTCGCAATTGTGAGATATAAAGTCAGAATTGTGTGATATAAAGTCAGAATTGCGAGATATAAAGTCAGAATTGTGAGATATAAAGTCGCAATTGTGAGATATAAAGTCGGAATTGTGAGATATAAAGTCAGAATTGCGAGATATAAAGTCAGAATTGTGAGATATAAAGTCAGAATTGCGAGATATAAAGTCAGAATTGCGAGATATAAAGTCGCAATTGCGAGATATAAAGTCGCAAGATATAAAGTCGCAATTGTGAGATATAAAGTCAGAATTGTGAGATATAAAGTCAGAATTGTGAGATATAAAGTCAGAATTGCGAGATATAAAGTCAGAATTGCGAGATATAAAGTCAGAATTGGGTGATATAAAGTCGCACTTCTGTCTTTTTTTCTCGACTTTATAATTGTGACTTTATATCACCCAATTCTGACTTTATATCTCGCAATTCTGAGAAATAAAGTCAGAATTGCGAGATAAAAAGTCACAATTTTTTATTTTATTTTTTTATTCACTGGCGGAAACAAGCTTCCATAAGTTTCTATGTAAATCACAGACATGTCAGAGTTTTGCGAGTAAATAAGAGTCTTTACTTTGAGTTATTATTAGCATTAATAATTAACTAACATGTAATTTTCTTATTATTTTATAGTGTTACCGGTATATAAATATATATATTTTTAAGTTAAAGTTAAAGATAGTGTTTTCCAATAGTTTTTGCTGTTGTGTCGAAATCAGTACTAAAAATTACTGGTATTCTGGTAACAGCACTATCACAATATAAATCAGTTTATCCATGAAGTGTGCAACTGGTTTACAATACTTTGCCTAATCTAGACTGTATTTCACATTTATGAGGTTGTATACGCATCGCATTACATTTTGATCAAAAACATGTCTCTGATGTTGAAAGAGTTTTGCATTTCTAACACACACACTCACTCACACACTCTTCCTCACGTCTCTCTGCTGCTTGTTTGATGAGTGTGAGACGGCTGACGGTTGTCTCCTCTGTTGTGTCAGTGCGGGAGCCGGGCGGACAGGATGTTACATCGTGATTGACATCATGCTGGACATGGCAGAGAGAGAGGGGGTGGTGGACATTTACAACTGCGTCAAAGCGCTGCGCTCCAGGCGAATCAACATGGTTCAGACCGAGGTGTGTGGCCCTGAAGCAGTGATATCATACCGCTATTATTTGATGTGCTTTTAGGATAATTAAATATAAGAAATAAAACTGACTTGAGAAACCTTCCCTGTAAGCTAAAAGTTAGGAATCGCCGTATGTTTATCTCAAAGCATGCACATCACCTGGCCTCTGTGGAGCAGCTGATGAAGCATGACACTGCAGGCTTGACCACTAAGGGCCACTGTTGCATTTCTGCAGGATTTACCCAAAAAACTGAGGCATTTCATAGTGTGGGCTTCTGCTGCTGTATGTAGATCTAATAAAGATCAGTAAACCTTCATGTATAATGTAGTATTAAGCTATTCATAATGTATGTTATTAACTATATGAAGAGTTCAGATGCAAAAGCCTCTAAATGCCATTTGAAATTTTCTTCTTTAATGATGATTTTTTTATCAAACTTGTATATTTAAGTTCAGTAATTTCACTTAAATAACAATTAATAGGTAATTATCATTGCAATTTAAGTGAAATCACTGAACTTAAATATACAAGCTTGATAAAAAATGGTCATTCTAGAAGAAAATTTCAAATGGCACTTAGAGGCTTTTGCATCTGAACTCTTCATATGTTAACCAATGTTAAAATGCATTGTAATATTTACAGATTCCTCGTTACATCTGAAATCAGTTGTGTGTCATGTGTTTTAATGCATGATAACTGTGGTTAGAATTATTCTAGGGCTGTGCAAAAATGAATTGCGATTAATCGCATCCAAAATAAAAGTCTGTGTTTACATAATATATTTTGTATATATAAATACACACACATCCATGTATATATTTAAGTAAATGTGTTATTCATATATAAAATATATGAATAACACATATGAATAATATAGATACAGAATTTAAGCGCAAATAATTATTAAATATATAAATGCATGCATATATACAAAATAATTATATACAGCACACACAAATATATTATGTAAACACAGACTTTTATTTTGGATGCAATTAATTTTTGCACAGCTCTAAATTATTCATGAGACTATGAAATGCATTATAAGGCATAATTAATGCATTAAAAATACTCTTATAATATATATATATATCAGTCCTTCCAGAAAAATTAGTTTTTTTTTTAGATTATTATTATTATTTTATTTATTTTTAATTTTTTTTGTGAAACGGCCGTTTTCTTATTTCTTATATGCGGGATATTTATGCAGTTTTATGCAAGGACATTGTGGGAACTTGCAAAAACTGCGGTTTGAAAAGAGAAAAACAAGTGATTCCCCGACACTGTTCTCGCTCGGCTACTGCCTTAATGGAAAGAGACATTTCTTATTACTTCCTATGATAAGCATGCATATACATCACAGTTCCATTGCTTTATTTCAGACCTTAATAAACACATCAAACTTACAAAACACTGCTGAGTCAAACACGTTCTGTAGCTTTACAAAAGGAGTACGCTACAACTTCGGTACAAATCAATAAATAAAAGATAAGCAATGAAAGTGCGCTCCAGTTTAACAGATTTTCCATGATGTTCACGCCGCGTAATTACGTCACTTCATAACGTTCCCATGGCAACAGGGGGAAACGGCTGCTCTCGTGTGAAGCAACGAAAATGCGAAGATTTTGAAATCATGCAACCCCCGCATATTTTGCACAGAAATCTACAATTTATGTGGCGAAAGTGCGGCGCGTTTGACTTTGGCTGATTATGCGATTGCATAATTGCATTTTATCGAGGGACTGTACTTAAAGCTTACTGTACTTATATATATATAAAGGCTTAAAGTACATGTATTTTTTTAATTGCTTTATGCAAATTTAGCCATTTTGCCACAGTGGGACTCACTTGTTACTCCATCTTCCACATGCTAATAAACCAATAGGGTTGTTGCCCTAAAAATAAGTGACGAAAAGGGGATATCCATTGAAAATGGACATCCTCACCCTTTATTTTAAATATTAATAACGATTTATCTAGACATTATGTACAGTAAGCATATTGTGTAGTTGTTTTATTTGTGCGATAATAACACAATAAAACATGACAAATCACTTTTGGACAGGCTGTCATACATATAAATGATGAACACATACGAAAACAAGAGCGCGCCAACCAAATATTAATAATTGATGATGTTGTAGTCAATGTATATTTTGCCTTACCAATGCCTCATTTCTGTGAATAGAGATTAATAACCTGTAGCGGGCTCTCATAATCTCCATAATCCCTCTGGCTCTCAGGAGCAGTACATCTTCATCCACGATGCCATCCTGGAGGCGTGTCTGTGTGGCGAGACGGCGATTCCCGTGTGCGAGTTCAAAGCCGCGTACTACGACATGATCCGCATCGATTCCCAGAGCAATTCCTCTCACCTCAAAGACGAGTTCCAGGTACATGTACACTGCAGTGCTCCTTTTTCAAGAGGAGACCCGACATTCATACAAACATCAGCATTACTATGAACTGCTTACGCTCCATCTATATTCAGCATTATTTAGTGTTTGATTTCTAAACACCTCATGTTCTTGGCAGTCAGAGCAAGTATATATGGTGTATAATCTTGTGCGGTTTTGTGATTAGCTTTGAGATTCACGTAACCTGTCTATGTTGGCACCTGGCTCATTTGACTAGAATGACAGTTCTTCCAAATGACAGATGAGTCTGTGCCAAAACCCCATAGAGTCTGTGTCTTTAACCCTTGTGCATCAATTAAAAAAACGTTACACATAGGTAAAAAGAGGACAAAAATGTGACGCTTCGGAGCACAGACTTAAGTTTGGTATCATTTTAAAGAAGACCGTTTGCAGATTATTGCTGAAGTAAAAAAATAATAAGTAAATCCAAAAAAAAGTTATATGGGTATAAGTTTATGAAAATTATTTATAAAAAATATTTTACATAAAATATATATTTTATAAATCAGGTTGAAATCAAAGCCATAAATCTAAATAGGTTGTGTTCCAAATTTGAGGATGATATCACAAAAAATGAGCTGTCGGTAAAAGTTTGTTTGGGCGTAGTAACATATTTTCCCCATTGGGTGGCAGCAAAACCCCACTGGAGCTCACAGTGATTGGATTTGAATTTGCAGTTTTTCTCTCTCAGTCTGACAAACACACACATGCGCGCACACACACATATTTTTTTATAACACACATACTAACCACACTCTGACATCCATACCAACACACCAACACAAATATCGTTGCATAATTTATCCAGTTGGCTCTATAATATGCCGAACCAGAAAACAGGAATAAAGCGATATTTTGTTTTATAGGCCAAACTTAAAAAAAAATGGCACCATCTGATAAAAAATAGTAAAAAATAAAATTTTGAAGCCTTGCCATCAGAATGAAAGCCTCTTAACAAAGATCACATAATTTTATCGTTAACTGAACCGGGGATTAAAAATGGCAGTTTTAATGGGTTTCAATGGGGACATTTTTGTCCAAAAGTATTTTTTGTACCTAATGCAAAAAATATATTTCTTTAAGAAAATGGCGGTGAAATAGTAAAATTCCAATAAAAACACACACCTGTGCCAAGTTTTTTTGCAGTTAGCTTTAACACAGGCAAAGTGATCAAAAAAACAAAACTGAAAATGGAGGATGCACAAGGGTTAACAACAAAAGCTCAGAATTGGCCTCAGCTGCAGTGAAAAGTCGCCTCCAGACTTGTGATCGTGATGTGTCCACTGTGTGTTGTCCAGACGCTGAACTCAGTGACCCCTCAGCCTCAGCCTGAAGACTGCAGCATTGCACTCCTTCCTCGAAATCACGACAAGAACCGCTTCATGGACAACCTCCCGCCCGACCGCTGCCTGCCCTTCCTCATCACCATCGACGGAGAGAGCAGTAATTACATCAACGCCGCGCTCATGGATGTAAGAAAAACTCGCTGTCTCTCTTCTCCTCGTCTCCTTTACGTTAGACACACGCTCTGCTCCAAAACCCAGTGAGCTGCGCATGGAGGCCAGCCAACAGACTGCAACATACACGCCAAATATACTCAATAAAATTGTGGCGACAGATTACGAGCAATATTGTAAAAAAAAAATAATTGAGTTAGAATGAATCAAATTGATTCGTTAAAAGATGAGTTTTAAAAAGTAAAATGTAAACAAAGATACCTGAATAACAGACAGGCAGACATCAGAGATTATTTTTCATTGCCAACATTGAAGACACCAGATGATAACAAGCAGAATCACTGAAGGAAAGAGAGAAACAAGAACTACAGGCTTACATTATATCTCTCTTATTACAAACCAGATTTCTGTTATTAGTCTACAGTTCTTTTGGGGAATTAACCGGCTTAGATGTTGATGTTTTATTGAAAATGTGGTAACACTTTACAATAAGGTTCATTACACTCTAAAAAATGCTGGGTTGTTTTAACCCAATTTTGGGTCAAATATGGACAAACCCGAAATGTTGGGTTAAAAATGTAATGTAAAAATTTAACCCAGCGGCTGGGTTAGTCCATATTTGACCCAAAGTTGGGTTAAAACAACCCAGCATTTTTTAGAGTGTAGTTAACATTAGTAAGTGCATTAACTAACATGAACTAACATTAGTTACAGTGTTTATTAATGTTAGGGTAACACTTTATAATAACTACACGCTAATAATCATTAGTTAATCATGAGTAAACCATTAAATCATCATTCATAAAGCATTAATAGACACTAATAAGCAGTTCATAAATACAGCTTTCTTCTTGATTTAAAAGCATATCTATAATTTGTTTAATAGTTGTATTTTCATCCTTTATTAATGATCAATTTATCATTTCTAAATGAAGAATTGCATTTTTTATGAACCAGTTATTTAAGAGTTGTCCGCGGTTCGTACGATTACTTAGAGCGAGTAAGTAAATGATTAATAAACTTTTTAAATGTACATTCATACATCTTATCATTCAGACATATAGTGATGGTTACTTAATAAATGCTTTATTAACATGTATTAATGCTGTAATTCAGGGTTAATTTGGGTAGTTATCAGTGGTCAGCTGACTATGTTCGTGAGCTCATCTAAAGTGAGGACTAGTCATGCCTTGTAAAGCATTTTTAAAGGGTGTTAAATATTTCTATGTTCTGAATCACTGCGTTGTGTTTGTGACATTTTACTGTTTAGAAGATTGACGAGTCTTTAAATCGCCTTTATAAATGCTTTACAAAGCATGAATAGTCCTCACTTTAGATTAGCTCACAAAAATAGTTAACTGACCACTAATAAATGCTTTATAACTACCTGTATTTACTACATTTACTTACACTTTCTAAGTGATCTTATGAATGACTGACAACTCTTAAACAGCTGGTTTGTAAATAATGTTATACTTCATTTAGAAATTATTAATTGATCATTAACAAAGTATGAAAATACAATCATTAAACGCATTATAGATATGCGTATAAAACATGTATAGCTATATTTATAAACTGCATATTAATGTCTATTCATGTTTTATAAATGATGTATTAACTGTTTACTCATGCTTAACTAATGATTAATAGTGTGCAGTTATTATAAAGTGTTACCTTTGAGGTAAATAACATATTAGTAAATGTTGGAATTAATATTAACTAAGATTAATAAATGCTGAAGAAGTATTGTTCACATGTTAACTAATGAACCTTATTGTAAAGTGTTACCGAAAATGTTTGTTCACCATTATGATGATCAGTGTTTCGTTTAGAGTCTTGGCTTTTTATGCGAGTCTGTGGTTTTTGCTAAAGCACATCATTTCTTGCAAAGGAAGGCGTAAACAAAGATGCTCATTTGATAAAGGTTTTATCATCGTAAAGAAACATGATTGACTGATGTCATAAATTATCAAAATATGTTCAGTAACAATATTTTGTTGGCACTGATGAGACATTATGAATTTTTCTATTTGTAAATAAACTGTTTTTTTTTATTTTTTATTAATACAGTCTGTCTTTTAAAAAAAACTATAGTGAATTTAAAACTAAAAATTCATGTTTATGGCTTCCTTTCCAAAACCATTTGCTTTAGTGAAACACTGTTACAAAAACCACAAACTCAAAACACCAAGAGTCAATCTGCCCAACTAAAGCAAACACTGATCACCGTAACGGCGAACACACACACACAAGAAGAGCTTCTGTTGATGAATGACAGAAATAACATTAGTCTGGTTGTAATAAGAGAGATTTAATGTATCTTTAGTGTATTTCATCTAAGGCTGCAGTTTAAGTCACTTGAAGTTCTTGTGTTTCTTTTTTCTTCATAGTTATCATCTAAATTGTACTTCATTTTTTGTGTTTTAAATGGTTTAAGCACTTAATTTGATGAACTCTAACTCAAATCTTATTTGTGGGATTTTATTAATAATATTGCTTGTAATTTATTGAAACAATTTTATTGAGTGGATATAGTGTATTATTTTTACGGTGTAGTGTTGGCCTAGATCCGGGCCCACACCAGACGTGGGCAGCTTAAATTTGCCGCCTTGTATTAAGTACACATCGCTTTTATCGGATCAGCCAGTTCAGTTAAAAAAAAAGGTGCATGGAGTAGTTTTTAGTAGTTAAAAACACACTGATAACAGTTCAATGTAAGTAAAATGAATCATTTTACCCCAGTATTTGTGCCGTCGATTCTTAATGCGCGTTGGCTTAGCGACATGCTAATCGAACTCTTTGGAGTTATTGTGCGCTACTTGACCGCGAGATCGCTCAGTGGATTTTGGAACGGAGCTACAGAAAGCTAGAGACAAATCCAGGTGGCAAGTCCTTTGAGTCGGACAGATGTTAGCGTGAGCCACTTTAAAACCTATTCCGAGACCATTATTTGTCTTTTAATTTTGTACCATCATTAATGAATTCTTCTTGATGGCTGTATGTGGTCCTAAATTGGTCATTCCTTTATTTGGGTTTCCAAAAATAATAGTCCAAATTTTTTTTTTTGGTAACCTTATTGGAAAGGGCGAGGTAAGTGTATCTCTGAATCTCTTGCTTTAAAGGAGTAGTTCACTTTTTAAAAAAACTTTTGCTGATAATTTACTCACCCCCATGTCATCCAAGATGTCCACGTCTTTCTTTCTTCAGTCGAAAAGAAATTAAGGTTTTTGATGAAAACATTAAAGGATTTTCTCCATATAATGGACTTCAATGGGGTCCAAACGGTTCAAGGTCCAAATGAGAGTTTCAGTGCAGCTTCAAAGGGCTTTAAATGACGCCACACGAGTCATGACTCGAAAAAAGTTCATTTTGATGAACTAGTTCGAACAGGAGAGTCACGAACGCACATCACAGAACAGAGCAAGGTGACCATTTGAGCTTATAAAACTTAAACTTTGTTATTTATTTATTAAATGAGAGATTGTTTCGCTCAATAAGACCCTTATTCATCGTCTGGTGTCGTTTAAAGCCCTTTGAAGCTGCACTGAAACCCTTATTTTGACCTTGAACCGTTTGGACCCCATTGACGTCCATTATATGGAGAAAATCCTGGAATGTTTTCATCAAAAACCTTAATTTCTTTTCCACTGAAGAAAGAAAGACATGGACATCTTGGATGACATGGGGGTGAGTAAATTATCAGCAAAAGTTTGTTTAAAAGTGAACTACTCCTTTAATTCTGTCATTTATTAAAAGACAAGTTGACTCAAATTGCAAACGTTCTGTCATCATTTCTCACCCGCAAGTCATTTTAAAACCTGGATGATCTTTCTTTATTTCTTTCTTTCTTTCGTTCTTTCTTTCTTTCTTTCTTTCTTTCTTTCTTTCCTTCTTTCTTTCTTTCTTTCTTTCTTTCTGTGGAACACAAATGGAGATGTTTAGCACAGTGTTTCCTTCATACCACACACACACACTTGCTCACACTCGAGACGACATGTTTGAGTCCTGATATAGAAACCTGTTCTGGGCGCACGAGATTTCATGATTTCATTATGTCCTGCCCACAGATTCTTCAGAATCTCTCCGTTTGTCTTCCACGGAAGAAAGAAAGTCAGTCAGACAGGTCTGGAATGACACGAGGGCGAGTTTCTGATCTGAGAATGCATTTGTTCAGTATTCAGTTTGGTATGCCTCCATCTCCGAGAGGTTCATGTGTCATGGCAGTGAAGCAACGAATCCGCTCGTGTCCGTCTCTTTCCGTACATCATACAGAACGACATGTTCATTCAGTGGCGTCTTCACAGCCGATGACCTTTGACCCTGGGAGATGGTGTTCTGACAGCCAGAATCAGCTAGTTTGACAGATGAGCTCAAAAAGTTGTGATTTTAGAGGGTAATTTTAAATGGCTTCCTCGTACGCTTCACAAACTCTTGGACTTTTTTTAACCAAGCCGTCAGAAGAGTACCAGGTAATTTCTGATTCAGTTCTGCCTCTGTTAGACTGGATTTGTTTCGTGGCTTTAGTGGTATGTCAGCACTTTCCATTCAACCTCTCTCTATATTGGGTTTGCTCCAGCATGCTAAGGAAAATGAATGCATTAAATAACTTACAGAGACGTACATTTATCACACATATGAACCGACAAACGTTTACATCACTCTCTCATTTCCGAACGCTCACTGTGGCCCCTGCATGATCATACACATCCACGCGTCGCCATCCTGAGAAGACTTCCATGTTTGTCTTGTTTGTGTGTAAGTGTCTCAAAGCAGAGTAAAATACATTGTGATGGAAGTTCTTGTCTATTGATTCTGGTTACACTGTAAAAATGAATATGCTTTATCTAATCAATCAAATGGTGGCAACAGGTTACAAGCAATATTATTAATTCAATTGCACAAGTTAGAATTGAGTAATAAATAATCAAATTATTCCTTAAAAGTTAACCATTTAAAATTAGTAAAAAAAATTAAACAAAAATAACAGATTCATTATTTTAAATTGCCAACATTGAAGACACCTGATGTTAACCTCTTAACTGTCACCCCCCCTTTTTTTGAATAGACATGAAAATGCACATTTCGAACTTAAATGGTTGTAATTCAAGAATGCTTTGGAATATAGACATATGATTGGTCTTGTTTTAAAGAAGACATTTGGCAGATTTTTGTAGAAGTGAAATAAATTAAGAAAGTGAAACAGAAAAAAAGTTATAGAAGTTTGAGTTTATGGAAATGTACAATGTAAAAATATTAATTATTCATATTTTACATAAAATATATATTTTCAAAACCTGGGCTACTCTAAAACGGCAGAAAGATCAAACAAGTTGTGTTTCAAATTTTAGGTTGATATCTCAAAAAATGAGCTTTCAGTAAGATTTTGTTTGAGCGCAGTACCAAACTTTTCCACTAGGGCACAATCAGACTCCATTACTGCCCATATAAGGGCGCCTGCATTTCCATTCGTGTTTTGAGTGATATGAACCATTATTTTCACAATTTTCATACAATTTCTGAAGTAGAGATCCTATTCAGAAGTAGCATGGGAAGTTTGGCAGATTTTGAAATGAATTGAACCTCTAAGAAACACGTACAAAGAACACGCATGTAAGTCATAGCTAGCAGCCACGTCACAAATGGTGAATTTATTATTTTTTTCTTAATATTTCAAACTTTTCAGACCTTTTTTTCCAAAATAATTGAATGGATTCTATCTTTTGAACTTTTGGCATGAAAACAAACTGAGGTTTCTACCATTTTTTCATGATTTTTCATGTTGACTGCTATTTTAAAATAAAGGTCTGAACACGCCTTATGAGTATGAAAATATTCTTGTTGCATATTGATAAATTATGGCTTCTCTGTAATATATTTTGAAAATCAGTCACCAAATATGGAAACTAGAGATTGTAAGCTTTCAAATGATATATAGTTTGTCAATATTATTTAAGGTATTTACTAAGATATTATTGTTTTAAAAATATAGTGGCAAACGTCCCACCTGTGGGACGGTGACAGTTAAGTTTAACAAGCAGAATCACTGAAGGAGAAAACCGTCATTTTAAAACAATCCTAAAACACTGATCACCATAATGGTGACTTAAATGTACTTTTTTTAGGTTTGCTCTAAATTAATTTGATTAATTATTACTCAATTCTATTGTTAAATTGAATTAATAATATTGCTTGTTATCTGTTGCCACAATTGTTTTTTATTAGATAAAGTGCGTTCATTTTTACAGTGTACCATCTAAATTGTGCTATTTGCAGTTACTCATTTTAAATGGTTGACTTGAGCACTTCATTTGATTATTTCAAACTCAAATCTTATTTGTTGGATTTTATTAATAATATTGCTTGTAATCTCTTGCCACAATTTTTCGGATGGATATAGTGTATCTATATCTGTCACTGTGGCCCCTGCATGATCACGCGTCGCCATCCTGAGAAGACTTCCATCTCTGTCTTGTTAGTGAGTGTCAGAGTGAGAGTTTGCTGGAAGTACATTGTTCTCTATGTCGTGCAGAGCTACAGGCAGCCGGCCGCGTTCATCGTGACCCAGCATCCACTACCCAACACCGTCAAGGACTTCTGGAGGCTGGTGTACGATTATGGATGCACCTCCATCGTCATGCTGAACGAGATCGATTTGGCTCAGGTGAGATTCAAGCTGAAGTGTCGTTAAAATTTTGCATGATGTCCGATTTTCATTTATAGTCCCCCTGTAGTCAATAATTTGATCCCTTAAGCCTCATCTTTGATCACCAAAATGACATATTTTAAAGTTTTTTTATTATATAAATGTCTTCATGCCTTAAAATAGCTTGAATGTAACTCGACACCCAGTATGCGTAGTTCTATGAATATGCAGATGAGCCCCGCCTCCACTCACTCACTCACTCACTCACTCAGAGATCCACTGGTTGACGATCACACGTTGATCTGATTGGTTACAAGGTCGTTTGTTACGTCAGAATCAGGCATGAAAAAAGTATGAAAAGGGGCGGGGCCTGGTTGAGTTAGTTAGTAGTGTGTTAAACTGCCGGTTATGATAAGGGGCGGGACATTTCCCAAACACACTCGAAGTGCTCGACCAATCACAACACACTGATCCAGCCGACCAATCAGAGCACAGTGTGCTTTTCAGAAGGAGGGGCTTCATAGAGACAGGAAGTGAACAGAGCGTTACTGACAGCTGATCCACAACAATGGAGAATATGAGGAAATAATCAACATTCAAGCAGGAAAACCTGTTCTAGAAGAGCCTGAAACACATCAAGACTTTGTAAAAGGGCAGAATAGCTGACTGTAGTGTAAAAAGACTGCTGTGTTTGATGATGAGAGTGTAATGTGTGTGTACAGGGTTGTCCTCAGTACTGGCCGGAGGAGGGGATGCTGAGATACGGGCCTGTACAGGTGGACTGCATATCCAGCTCGATGGACTGCGACGTCATCAGTCGTCTCTTCAGGATATGCAACCTGACCAGAGTGAGTTTCACACATCTCTGCAGAGCCGCACATCTGTCTTGCATCATTATATGCGACCCTGGACCACAAAACTGGGTCAATTTCTATAAAGAAAGATAAATACAAGATGAATAAATACGCTTTCCGTTCCAATGTATGGTTTGATAGGATAGATAAATCAAATATTTCACATTTTCAATATTTTGTGCAAAAAAACCTAAACATTGAGAAAATCGCCTTTAAACTTCTTTATTTATGTTCACGAATGTGCTGCACTCACTCACAAAAAATATGTTTTATATATTTACAAAATATCCTCATGGAACATGATGTTTACTTAATATCCTGATGATTTTCGGCATACAAGAAAAATCAATCATTTTGACCCATGCAATGTATTGTTTATTTATTTATTTAGAAAAGGGACAGTGTACATTAATAAACATTCTTAAATGTAAATGTACCCAAATTAGCCCAAAGGCTAGTTTTCATTGGTAGTCCCTTTGCCAGATGTTATTAGGCTCTTAACTAGAAAAAAAGAGTTAAAAATTACAGCAATACAACAGTCATAAAACTAGAAGTATACAAAAAGACAATGTATATACAGACACAATTAAACCAAAAAAAAAAAAGAAATTAAAAATAATTGAATTAAGTATGAAAGAATAGGTCTATAATAAAATTAATAATAAGGTTAGTAATAATAATAATAATAATAGAGGAGCAGCGTTAATGTTCACAGTGTTGGTTATGTAGAAGCCATTTCTTAAAATTAAGCTTAAATGATGAGCACTCTCTAATTGGTTGAGGTACTGTATTCCACTGATTGTTGGTATTGCCACAAATAAACCCGTGCGACCGGGTCACATATTGACGTGTGTGTGTGTGTGTGTGTGTGCCCCAAGCCTCAGGAAGGTTACCTGATGGTCCGACAGTTCCAGTACCTGGGGTGGGCGGGGCATAGGGAAGTCCCCGCCTCCAAGCGCTCGTTCCTCAAACTGATCCTCCAGGTGGACAAATGGCAGGAGGAGTGTGAGGAAGGCGACGGACGCACTATTATACACTGCCTGTGAGTACAGATGTCAATCACAACACACACATGCTCATGGTGTCAAATCTACTGTATAGCCATGAACAAACCAAAGTCTTGAATACTGATCTTGTCATCGGTATTTCCTGATATAAGTGCACTGAAATCAGATTTACCCACACTCAACATCACATGAAGAACAAACTCTGACTCATTTATCAAGCACTTTTACTGTGTCAAGTAATAAACACTTCAATTCTTTACCATACTTTTTAAAAGAAACAACATACTTACAAAGAAAAGATTTGCGCGTGAATTAAAGGTTAAATGTCTCCGGACACTTAATTGCATGTTAATTGGAATTAAATGAAAACTTATTATAGTTTCAATTTATATAAATGTAATTATCTAAACTGAAGAGTGCTTTTTGACCAACTTTATATGCAGTTATGTTAACTAAAATATGCTTATATTTTTAGTAGCAATTTGGTACATTTTAAATATATTAACTTGAAATGTAATATCAAATCACACATTACAGTTAAAATGAATTATAAGTACACATGCCTACACATGAAAATAAGTGCACTTCTTTAAAACAAGTTAAATTTGATATCAGTACACATTTTAAAAGATGTCAAGAAACACAGTGTCTGTTTAAGTGCGCTTAAGTGGCCTTTTATTTCATTAATATGATATTATCAGCAAGCGCAGTGTTTTAAATACACTGTTCCTCACGATCTCGAGCGGCTCTCTCCATGAGAATATCTGTGAGGAGGAAGTCTTACCCGCAGTACGGATGTGTGTGTGTGTGTGTGTGTAGGAATGGAGGCGGCCGCAGTGGGATGTTCTGTGCCATCAGTATTGTGTGTGAGATGATAAAGCGGCAGAATGTTGTTGACGTCTTTCATGCGGTGAAGAGTCTGAGGAACAGCAAGCCCAACATGGTGGACAGCCCGGTATGAACACACACTACACTAACACACACACACTCACTCACTCACTAGTGTCAGCAGGATGAGGAAGTCACTGGAAGCAACACCTTCTGTAAAGGTGACATACAGTACACTACCCGTGCTGCTTGTAATTACTATAGTAATAACAGTAAATGATGTATAATTACAAGCAAGTAACCCAAACCGGTTACACTTTATTTGAAGGTGTCATTCGGCACGTTTCCATTACAGATTTGCGCAAAACTTTTACGATATTTTCCAAATGTCGATAAAAAACTATTGCGAAATGACGGTGTTTCCATTAACCGATGTTATGCGACTAAAACGTCTATTTTTTCCTCTCGCGATAAGTCATTCCAAAAATCAAGGCAACGGACTTTGGTAGGTTTATAACCTATTTCACAGCCATGCACCGCACTCGACATTATTATTATTATTAATGGAAGGAGACGTGGTGTGTTATCCAAGCATTAATGGCAGGGAAAGACACAGAGTTCCTGGTGTTTCTCCCTTATTTCTGCTTCCATGTCTTGATTGTGGCATTTCTTTGAGGTTTAGAGAGGCTATTCCTGTAATTATTGTTTCTTTTTTAAATTAATTTAATAAAGAACTCTGTCTCGTATTATGTCCAAACGGTCGTTGCAAAACGAAAAATGAACTGTTGTTGTATTTTTAAAACGCAAAGTTGAACACCAACATTTTAGTTTGACCACACCAATGCAGCGCTATTTACATCTCAACGAAATTTCAGATATTTGTTTACTTTTTGTCCCCTTTAAAACATTTAAAATATTCACAAATTAATATGGGAAAAAATGTAGATTTTACTGGTTTTCTAAGGCCAAATTAGAACATGGATATTTCTGATATTTTTCCCGCAGTGCTGTATAGGCTATAGGTGAGTTATTATAAATGCGTCTGAAAAAATAACGAGCTAAAAACATAATCTCCGGACGCACCTTCAGAGAGAACGGCACCTTTCATACGGATTACATAATCAGAAGGTATTAGTTTACGATTCGAATTTGTTCTTTTTTCGAAATTGTTCTTGTTCTTTGTTCAGTTCTCGCGCTCCAGTTCACGAAGATCATAAAGCGCGCCTGATTGTTTTATGTTATTTTACAAAAGCACAACATTTTGTTGTTATTGTGACATTACGCAAATACAAGTAGTTGCGAATAATGTATTATTATTTTCTGTATAACCAGAAATGCTCGAGTATTTTAAGTTGACTCCACTGTTGATGGGAAAATGAAAGTGTTCACGGCGTCTGTCTGCCATCCAGTGCGCACTCCAAACTCCACACACACTCTTGGATATTGGTCAAAATCGAGTGTTTATTTGTGATAATCTTAGCCCTATTATTATTATTGTCCAACCTGTACTATGAATGAGATGTGACGAATTGCTTTGTTCTTTTTTGGATAAAAGCGTCTTCTATATATGTAGCCTAATAAATGTTATAATAGGCTAATGATGATGATTATTATTATTATTATTTGCGGACACAGACCTAACACACACGCCGTCTTCTAAGTCAGGTGACTGTAAATGCGCAAAATCCGTTTCCATTGCAGTTTTGCGAAAAAATCCTTTTTCGAATTGCCTGAAAAAGCTCCTCATGCGAGCGTAAAAACTTTTTTGCGATAAACGGGAGTTTTTGCGAAATTTACGTGTTTCCATTGAGCGTATTTTCATTTCGCAATTTCAATTTGTGCAAATTGAAGTGTAATGGAAACGCAGTGATTGTTACGGTGTAATTATACATTTAGGTAGTGTGTGTTAATAGGCAACTACATGTACGTACTATAGAGTTAGGGTTTGGTTCAGGATTAGTTGCGCGTGTAATTATGCATAAAGCTGTGTTCACACTACACGCGACTTTGTCGCTGCAGGTCGCCTGTGGCTGCGCTGGAGGGTGTTCCCCACTACCGGTTGCCTAGTAATGTTTGGGAGTGACATTCACGGATGTTACTCTATGTTAGACAACTAATGCGTTTTATTGCCGCTACAAACAAATATTTTGGAAGGAAAAGTCTAAATATAAATAGAATCACTAAATAAAAATTCATAATATTAAAGATGAACGAGAAACAGTGAGCGCTCTTTGCCATTGCGGCTATTTAACTGCAGCAAACGGTCAAACACCGGTCTATCTGGGTTCCCGAAACCATTCAGTCTTGCGAAAATCGCTCTTTATTTACATAAAGTTAAACATTTCTCAACTTTGTCGCGTCGTCAGACACGCCCCATCCAGTCGCCGGCAGTCGCCCGCTCACCATTGAAAATGAATGGCATCGTGTTGCTTGGTTGCGTGTAGTGAACGCAGCTAAATTTGCTGTTATTACTGGTAAGTACATGTTACATATGTAACAAGGACACTGTAAAATAAAGTGTAAATAATACCTTCTGTAGGCTGTTACACATAAGGAAAACACTTTATTTTTTATGTTACATACGTGTAACAGCCTACAGAAGGTACAAAATGACGGACCATGTGTAACTGCATGCTTTTCTCACACCTTTGTAACATATTTAAGTACTTGTTACATAGAGTAGTACAAAGTACTTTCTTAGTACTTAGTTACTGTGTAACACGTATGTAAGCGACTCGGCCTGTTGCATGTGCGTAATTACAATCTGTAAGTGTTCATTACACTTTGTTACATGTTATTACAACGTCTGCTATTAAGTAATTACTCTGTATCACAGACGCCGTAAAATAAAGTGTTACCCTCACGGCTTATTTGTGTAATTACGCTGTAACAACATCGTCTTAAAATAAAGTGTAACCTCGTTGTATTTTCTGACAAGAATACCCCAGCATCTTTACAACTAGATTTACATTTCCTTGAGAAGTATTGTGCTTGACAATAATCCAAAATAGACATCCTCTGAAAACATACAGTCTTAGAAGAAATGGTTCCATCCCCCGCTTCATATATGGAACTCCAAAATGGTTCTATACAGAACCATTTTTTTTTTTTTTTTTGTAAAAGGTTCTATTAGCCAAGTATGGAACCCCAGGGTTCTATATAGAACCCTTTTTTTAAGAGTGTATAGAACCTTTTAGGGGTTCCAAATACGTAGCGCTGATAGAACCTTTTAAGGTTCTATATAGAACCTTTTCTTCTAAGAGTGTAGTCAAATTATTTACACGGATCAATGAAAATACGGATACTCTTTTCAGTGTAATGCCTCATAACAAGGAGATTTCACACTGTAAATGCAAATATACAACATTGAAAATAAATCGAATATAACCCAAGCCTAACGTCATTTATTATGAAAAAAACATGGTATGTCTCTCTCGTTTTACCTTTTTTTTTTTTAAAGACGGAGAGATTTTGTTCTTATTTTTAATTATTGATTGTATTCTCATTTCTTTCCGAATGGGTGTTTTAATGTTAATTGTCCAGCGCGTTGATAAATGAGCAGTAGATAGCGTTGAGCGAGAGAAGTGTTGACGATAAGCCGTTGTGGTTCACCACTTCCTCTGTCGTCCTGCTGAACATCTCTGTTGTGCTCTTCACAGGAGCAGTACCGCTTCTGCTACGACCTGGCCCTGGAGTACATCGAGACGTCCTAATGGACACCGCCGTGGAAATGTCTGTGCATCCGTGTTGACTTCATGGGACTCAAGTGCCCCCCGGTCGAGTTCATGTTTGGTTTTGTTCTTTTTTTACAGCCATTTGAAACACAAAGGCCGAGCTGTTGCATGCTGAAGACGCTCTTGATTTGCGTGTGTCTGTCACTGTTCCTGTTGATAACATGTGTAGCTGTACTCGTGTAGATGGACATCGCTTGACCGGAGAGCACTGAACTCCGCTCTAATGGCTGGCTTATTACGTTTCTTCTTTTCCTTTTTGGTAGCAGATGATGAGCATAAGCCAAAGACTTGTGTAAATATGTCTATAGGGATGAAGCACATTGTTTGTATTTATTGTTTACTTGCATTTTTGAAAGCTCAAAACAATCATTATCATTCCCCGTTTAGCCGAAATTTTCACTGCAAACACTCTTTGTATGAGACGGATTTAAGTAGTGTTATTTTTTTGTTGTATTTGAAAAATGTATTATTTGAAAGCTTTTACGTGTTATTAGTGTTTTATTTTTTACGTAACGGTCGTGATTTTGTTGGTTTTTCCGAGGAGATCTCCGAGAGGGACTCTGGAGAAAAGAGAAGAGCTCTATTTTTTCTGATGTTTTCACATTTGTATTGTGCTGGAAATGGAGAAGAAGAAAAAAACACAAACAATGAAGTGTATCATGAAAAATATATACAGTATTAGACTCTAGTGTATTTAGGATCAAAGCCAATTTAAGAAGAAAGTTACAGCCAATATTGATGCTGATTTTATAGAAAACAAAACAACAACAAACAACAAAATTCATCATGTGAAATAAGTTATGTATTTTTTGTCTGTAGTTGTTGGCTTTATGGCTGTAATACAATGTCAAAAGGTACAAATACTTTGAATAAAAAAAGGACATGTGAAATAATGTGTTTCCTCTGATTTAAAATGGTTGGAATGAATGTGGAGAATTTCCCGGTTTTCCAAACGCCACAGTATGTCTGCCACGGGTTCAGATCAAGCGCTCGACGAAGGAGATACACGAGGATACTTTCATTCAAAACTGAGACCAGAAAACAAACAAATCCCTGATAACAATAACGTACAGGGTTCCCACGGGTCATGGAATTTTAAAAGGTCTATTCCAGACATTGAAAGTCAGGAAATTTTACATATTTTTTGTCCAAGTCATGGAATATCAGGGAATTTAGTTTGTTGCTTTAAATTTTAGTTTCCATTTATCGAAATGTAATTTTTCTATACCTATTTTATTTATTTTTTTAAATCACGCTGTTTGACACATCTTTCTGTATTGTTGTGCTTAGGCTATTTTCAGCACATATGTATTCTCTTCCCGCTCAATTGGAAATCACTTAGTTAATAGGTACAGGGCCAGGCGGTGTAGTGCAGGGCAGGTAGTGCAGCCGTGCAATAGACTGAAGTGAGCTCGCTTTTGTGTCTAAATAGACAAATAGACACCACATTATGTCCGGTTTGGACAGTATTCATGTGAACTATGTCGGTTATGTCTTAAACAGTTGTGAGTGTATCGGAGGTGTGCATCAGTGCAATTGGATCCGCATGGAAATGATCCGACGTCTTAAAGTGATAGTGGATAATAAACCTAATGAAAACATGAATAAGGGTCTTATCAAGCGAAACGATCGCTCATTTAATAAATAAATAACAAAGTTTAAGTTTTATAAGCTCAAATGCTCGCCATACTCTGTTCTGTGTTACTCTCCTGTTCGAACTCGTTCATCAAAATGAACAAATCTTTTGTCAATTTTGACAATTGTCAAATGACACGGAAAAAGATTTGTTCACTTTGTTATTTATTTATTAAATGAGCGATCGTTTCGCTTGATAAGACCCTTATTCATCGTCTGGAATCGTTTAAAGCCCTTTGAACAGTTTGCACTGAAACTGTCTTTTGGATCTTGAACCGTTTGGTTCCCATTGAATCCATTATATGGAGAAAATCCTGGAATGTTTTCATCAAAAACCTTAATTTCTTTTCGACTGAAGAAAGAAAGACATGGACATCTTGGATGACATGGGGGTGAGTAAATTATCAGCAATCGTTTTTTTTTTTAAAGTGAACTAATAGATTTAATAAGGATTAATTATATTCATTCAAATAAATATGTCTGCTTGAAAGAATAAAGAATGATGTATGCAAGTAGTTACACAGAATGCATATATCATTCACTGAAAATACTGTTTTAGCCTACTTTAGGAAAAGTGGTTTTAAAAGAAATACATGGTTAATATTTAGCTTACATTTAATTCAAAAGATCCAAAGACTTTCATTGGGATTTATTATCCCTTTGTAGTATTATTTATGTTTTTAAGTCAAATACCAACGAGATATTGTTTTCATGTTTTCTACCTCAGGTTGAAAATAAATTTAGAACAAACTAAACGCCAAATCTATTTCAATCAAGTCCTGCAGCCTTTGACTTAATTAGTTATTTTTAAAAGGAAAATACTTAATGTTTACAAAGTATTTCTTTAATTCCAAAGAAAGAGACTGATTATTGTTTGTCATTTTATAATTTTGCATGTTGTGGCAGCGAAAAAAAACACATTAAAATCTAGTGTTGAGTGTTCATGTGATATTATTGTGAAATTAATTGATGCATAATAATCGTGATAATCCCTAGCTATATTTTATGTTGCATTATTTGGTGTGTGTTATGATGATGGTTCAGTATTTCCCTCAGCCTGCGATGAAGTTTGATTCTTCATGTGTTTTTCTCTTTAGCATCACTGTTGTATGATGATATGGTGCTTGTATTGTAAGGCCTATGTTAAAAGTAGCGGCCTAGAAGATAACTCAGTAGAAAAAAAAGTCTGTTGGATTTACCAGTTTAACATATTTTGTAAATTACCGTTTTAAAATGTAAAATCTACATGGTGTTCTGTTAATGTTTACCTCTTTCGTTTTTACAGCCACAGCAGTCAGTTTATTATTTTTCTTTTCAGTAAAAACGTATTTTTATTTACAGAATTAAACGATTTATATTGCAGTGACCGTGGCGTCGAATGAACGCTTGTTTCGGGGATTTGGATTCCTGTTTGTTTCAGCTTCGCTTTGGCCCTGGTGTCATGAAGTCAGGCAGAGGATGTGGGATTTGAGTATGTCAGAGTAGTTTTGCAGAATCCCCGGTGCAGCTTTGCTTAACAATGCTTTGAGTTGTGGTGTTCGAGCTGAAGGTGGCTTCCTGTCCTCCTCCTCCTCCGTCTCCTCCTCTGCTCTCGAAGCCTCGCTCGCTGTCTCGTTCTCGTTCGGCTCTTCTGAGCTCAGGGGCATCTGGAGGGCCAAAGGGAGCCAGGGTTTGCCTCCGCCGTCCAGCTGTATGGACCAGCCTTCGCTCTCAGCCCTAGAAGCGTCTCCTCACACACACAGCAGAAGATGGCTACGACTCTGCAGGAGTTCACACAGTTTGTGGATCCTAAAACTTTCCCTCGAGTGCTTCAGATCCAGTCAGGAATCTACTATCAAGGTAGGCCAACACCTGGACACAATTCATCCGCTCCTCGCTGTCCATAATACTGTGATTATGAGCCTATTGAACGTCGTAATATCCAGAATATCCGTCTCACGTATTGGCCTAGGTGAGGCATTAGCCGTTGAGAAGCAAACTGGAAACTGGAAATGTAAAAAAAAAATATATATATATGTTTGTAATAATTGATAATTTTTCTGCTTTTTAAAACAAAAACTTTCTTATAAAATACAAAATTGGCAAATGTAATCCTGTTACGTAATTTGGGGTGTCACAACATATCACAATACAAAAATTCAACAACATTGTGGATAGTGACAATCTGCTTTTTAATCCAAAATAAAATTTACTGTGTGAGGAAAAAAATTAAGTTTACAGAGTTTCAGTGTCAGTACTACATTAAACTGCTATAATGTTGAATATAATGTATAATAAATGCAATTGGGTAATGTGTGTCCGGATTACGCGAAATGTCTGATGTTGGCAGTAAAAAGTGTCCTACATTATATTAATTAAATATATCTATTCAGTGACAGCAAGAGCATACATTAATTCAGTGTTTTCATCTCCAGAATCATGAATATTGTTATTCTGGTGTCTCTGTTGTCCTGTTTGAGTCCAAGCAATGTAATATCAAATTTAACATTTTAGTCAACAGTACATTTTTTGTACATCTTTTATTATATGTCTTGGAGTATCGCAATAATATCATATCATGAGTTAACTATTGTGATGTATAAAATCGTGACACAAGGCTATCGTTACATAGGCTATATATATTTTCTTTTTTAAATCAACCTCATCATTTAGCAAATTTTTTTTTTTTAATGATTTAGAGGTAATTGTATCTAGCAAGATGCCTGAATGACTAAATTTATCTGTTGAAGAAACAAAGAAAAGTTTATTTTCAAACCACATGATATCAAGAGCGGAAACCAACCTGTGTGTGATCTTTCTCTCGCTCTCTTCGGTGTGTGTAATATGCCTGATGTTCGTGATGTCATTAACTGCACACACTACATAATTTGATCATTTTTATAATGCCACTTCACTCCAGTTCTCTGATTTGTGCAGCAATCCCAGCTAAATGGAGTGGAGTAGTGAGAGCTTTGACATGTTTAATGTGAGTGTGTAACACTGGTGTGTTTCAGGCTGTGTGTATGAGATGTTTGGAAGAGAGTGCTCTCTTTCGACAGGAGATCTGCTGAAAGTCATCGACATCACCATCACCAGATTCACAGCACAGAGCTCCAGCAACACTCGCATCGACATACCGGTGGAGTATCCAGGTACACGCAAACCACACTCGGTTCTTTCTTTCATATACTCATATTTTAACATTTTTCCAAATTTTCTGTTTGGAAACAGCTTGCTAAAACAAATGATTTGTATCTTGGATTTGTAGGTATTGTTGGTTGAAATGCGGCAGAAGAAAACTAAACTCGCTCAGTCCATTTGAGCAGCAGCTTCGATTCAATTCAATTATTATTTATCATATTGCACCCTCAAAAGTCCATATAAATCTTTAATTATATCCCATGTCATCAGTTTGTTTCTGAATCAATTTTAACAAGACTCTCAGCCCAATTCTCCAATTTAATCCATTTCGATGTTTCCCTTTTTAATTAAAATGCTTCAAATTAATTATAAAATTTCTAAAACACCAAAAAAAACGTCCTCAAGCATAAATCAACTGCATATATATAAAACATAGACATCTAAAGAAATGTAGAGTATGTGTGCGTATGCTAGTACTTCAGATGTCGGCTTTGTTCGGTGTTCGTGATGTGAACGGAGGAAGTCGTGTTGCAGATCTCCCCGTCAGCTCAGACATGATAATTATTTGGTTGTTAGTTTTTACATTTTAGTGAGTCGATGTTTTGACATCAAAATAAATAAAGAGAACCTGGTGAAATTTGGATTTCCCTTCCTCAAATTTTTTTTCTTTGCATCTTTTTCATGAATCCACCGTGGCTCGTGTCACCTCAGGCACGCCGGAGATTTGAACCCTGTAGATCATGTCTAAGTGGTTAAACTGACAGTGATACTCCATCCCGGTTGTTGAGTGGCAAGGGGTCATATAGACAAGTCCACTTCTACAAAGAGATGTGTTAAAAAAAAACACACAGCATGTGTTGATGCTATTTTGCCACGTATTGTGTAGATTTTTAACACAAAATGTGTGTTCAAATGTATATAATAGCACTGGGTGGAGGGTAGTTTGTGTTTATAAAAACATTATTATAGGTATATTTTATATGGTGTTCCATAAAAAGCTCTAAAATAAATAAAACTATACATTAAAATAGATAAATAAAATCTTAATTCATAAAAACATAATAAAAGATTAACAGGTGTATTTTGGAGCCAATCACATCATGCCTCTTTTTCAATGTCTTTTTCAAATGCTGCTTCC